TCTGTCTATCTGTCTATCTGTCTATCTGTCTATCTGTCTATCTGTCTGTCTGTCTGTCTGTCTGTCTGTCTATCTATCTATCTATCTGTCTATCTGTCTATCTATCTATCTATCTATCTGTCTATCTATCTATCTATCTATCTATCTATCTGTCTATCTATCTATCATTTGTTTTGTTTTTGGTTTTTTTGAGAGATTTTTAGGACTGAAGGTATGTATTATTGTGCTAGGCTACAGCTTTTTTATAATTTATTTAATTTAATTTTATGTGTGAAGGTGTCAGATCCCTTAGAACTGGAGTATAGACAGTTGTGAGTTGCCATGTGGGTTCTAGGAATTGAACCCGCATCCTTTGGAAGAACAGACAGTGCTCTTAACCACTGAGCCATCTCTCCAGCCCCAAGCTGCAGCTTCTTAAAAGTCTGTGCAGTGTGGAATACTGACAATGAGTAGAATACTGACAATGGAGATCTGTACATTTATCTTACACTGGGAATTGGATTTTTTAAAATTTTATTTTTATTTTATGTGCATTGGTGTTTTGCCTGCATGTGCCTATGTGAGGGTGTAGATCCCTTAGAAGTGGAGTTAAAAACAGTTGTGAGTTATGGGTGCTGAGAATTAAACCTGGGTCCTCTGGAAGAGTAGCCAGTACTCTTAAGCAATGAGCCACCTTTCCAGCCCCTTTGAATTGGCTTTTTAAATTGTTTTTATTAGCATATCATACATAGGCTTTACAGACATGTGCCGTTATGCTTGGCAACTTACTTTGTTTGTTTTTATTTTTTTTGAGACTGGGTTTCTTCAAGTAGCCTTGGCTGTCGTAGAACTAGCTCTGTAGACTAGGCTGGACTCAAATTCAGAGATCTGCCTGACTGCCTCCTGAGTTCTTGGATTAAAGGCGTATACAGCCACAGCCTGGCTCAAAGTTAACTTTTTAAAAAAAATTATTTGTGACTAGAGAGAATACTTTATGGTTAAGAGCACTTAGTGTGCTCACGGAGGACTTGAATTTGTTTCTGATAACTCCTTAGGTGTCTCAGGGCACTGTGAACATGCGGTGCACAGTTATGCACGGAGGCAGAACAGCCATAAAACAAACACATATAAATATACAAAATAGAAAATTATGTCAATATATAAAACATATACATTTATATAAAAATATATGCGTGTGTGTGTATATATATATATAATTTATTTATTCATTCCCGAGAAAGGGTTTCTCTGTGTAGCCTTGGCTGTCATTGACTCTTCTTTTTTAGACCAGACTGGCCTCGAACTCATAAAGATTTATCTGCTTCTGCCTCTCTGAGTGCTGGGATTACAGGTGTGATCCACTATGCCTGGCCAAAAATAATTTTTTAAAATTAAAAGGTTTTAGGACTGGAGAGATGGCTCAGAGGTTAACAACACTGGCTGTTCTTCCAAAAGGTCCTGAGTTCAATTCCCAGCAATCATGTGGTGGCCCATAACCATCTATAGTGAGATCTGATGCCCGCTTCTGTTCTGGAGCACAGGCAGAATGCTGTAGAAATAATAAATAAAGAACTTTAAAAAGAAAAAAATTAAAAGGTTTTATTCTGTTTATTTATCATTTGTGTGTGTGCCTGTGTGTGAATGCAGTCATGTGCAACAAGGCTGACAGGCTTTAGTGATTATTCACACATTTGAGATTCAGCTTCTGCAGTATTAGAATGATTGTTAGGTCAATCCTTGTATAGTGGAAATGCATATTCCAGAACTTGTTTCTAGAAATGATACATTAAAGTATTCATTTGCAGCAGAGTGGAGTCATTCTGGGGAAATCAGAAGTCTGTTGACAATAGGCTGTTTTGTGAGGCTGCATGTGTTAAACAAACAACAGAGACTGGAATGAATAAATGCTAATTTTCACGTGAGAGCTAATTTTAGTTCCTAGGCCTCCCTGTGATCTTGGAAATGAGAATAAAAAACATCTTGCCTGTGCTCAGGATTTGCAGTGTCCCAGGGTGCTAATGTGACCTAGATATTTAAGTAATGAAGCTGGGTGACTAGACTTTGCCCTACAAAGAGTTTCCAACACTTAGACTGACGTCTGCCTTTCCCTAGAGCTACAAATGGACACTCAGCCCTGTTAGCAGAGTCTGAGTCAGTTCTCCTGGGTCTTCGTTTACCCGCTCTACTGCTCTTTCCTCTGCTTCATGTGCAGTGGTTTGGGTGACAGGTTACAGTTTCTTATGAATAAATCACGTGCTGTAGTTGATAAGAATGTGTATGTTTGAGGGGTTGCTGTTTGAGACAGTCTTCCTCTGTACCTCTGGCTGCTTGGCATTCACTGTGTAGACCTGAATGGCCTTGAACTTGCAAAGATCTTTCTGTCTCTGCCTTTTAATTGTTGAGATTGCAGGTATATGCTTCTATGCCTGACAATAGATTTTAGTTTTGTGCAACTAGGGTCAAACCTAGGGTTCTTGTGCACACTAGGTAAACACTGTACCGCGAGCTAAACCCTGTATTTGCAACAGCTAGGGGAGGTCCGAGAAAGACAGGGAGGAGCTTTTTAATAATTTTAATTTTTTCAAATTACATCATTTCCCTCTTTCCCTTTCCTCCTCCTCTTTCCTCTCCCATGCACGTCTTACTCTCTCAACTTTATGGCTTCCTTTTCTTTAATTGCTGTTGCTGGTGATGGTGGGTGTGAGTGAGTAGGTGTGTTATTTTTGACACAGGATTTTAGGAAACTTAGGCTGGCCTTGAACTTAATGTGTGACCAAGGATAGCTGTGGATTTCCGATCCTCTTGCCCCCCCCCCCCCCCCCCAAGTGCTGAGCTTACAGGGCTATACCATAGTGCCCAGTTTAATGTGATCCTGGGAGTCTAACCCAGGGCTTTGTACCTACACTTACCTCCACTTGCTTTCTTTGAGATAGACCAGGGTCTCCCTATGTAGATTTGGTTGGCCTGTACCTCACTGTGGACCAGGCTGGTATTAAACTCAAGAGATGTGCCTGCCTTCCCCCCCCCCCCCAAGTTTTTGGGATTAAATGTGTGCAACACTATACCTGGCAGAAAGCGGAAAATTTAAAATACACCTCTAGACCACTTAATGGGAAAAATTACAGAAATGCATCATTCCTAGATAATATAATGGCAATGTGCCATGTGTAAAAGAAAAAAAGTTGGGGATTGGGAAGATGGCTCAGTCAATAAATTGCTACACTTACATGATGACCTCAGTTTGTTTCCTTAGTACCCTTGTAATGCCTGGTGCCATGGTTATCCTGTAGTACCAGTGCTCGAGAGACAGAGAAGAGGATTCCTGGGGCTTGACCTCTAGGTTCAGGCCCAATCTGGAGAGTGCTGTATCAGAACATGGTCCCCGAGTGGCTGCTCAGCCATAAATGATGTGTTACTGTCCACAGGTATAAGGACATTGTCTCATTTGATTAGTTCACAATTCTTTCCCTCAACTGTTATTTTGAAAGCTATTCTTGGTAAATTCCCTGGATTTGCAACCCTGGATTTTCACAGCTCAGCTGCAGACTAACATTGAGAAGTTGTAAGGCAGTAATTAAATTACTGTGTATGCTCTTGAGAAAATACTTTCAAACTTTGTTTTAGAAGGTGTTTTTAGGTTATTGGGTTTCTTTAATTTCTAAAATTTTACATTTGAAAATTTAGGACTTTGGGCTGGAGAGATGGCTCAGAGATAAGGTCCTGAGTTCATTTCCCAGCACCCACATGGTGGCTCATAGCTATCTATAATGAGATCTGGTGCCTCTACTGAGTCACACATGTAGGCAGAACACTGTATACATAATAAATAAATAAAATATTTAAAAAACATAATTTAGAACTTTACGTATAGTATGATGAGATATTAGATCAGCCAGTGTATTGGATATTCCAGTATTGGATATGAATATATTTAGTGTCTTACTTGAATGAGGATTTCTTTGATGTGTAAGATTGACTTTTTTATTTCTGTCATTGAAGAAGATGGAGTTAGTCCACTCTTTCAATAAACTTGATTAGTTCTACAGGAGTAAAATGCAATATTTTGTTCAGTCTTTTTTTTTTTTTTGGAGACAGGGTTTCTTTTATGTACTCTAGCTGTACTCTGAAACTGTAGCCCTACCCTCAAACCTAGCAGCCCTGCTTCTGCCTCCCAAGTAGGGGAGTAAAGGTGTGTGCCATCACACCTGGCTATCACTGAACATTTTTATGTTACTTTTGCTGTTGTTGCTTTTTGTGTTTGTGGTTTTTTGTTTTTTTGTTGTTGTTGTTTGTTTTTTTTTTTTGAGACAGGGTTTCTCTGTGTACCCTTGGCTGTCTTGGACTTACTTCGTAGCTTAGGCTGGTCTCAAATTCAACAGAGATCCGCCTGCCTCTGCCTCCCGGGTATTGGGATTAAAGGTGTGCACCACCACCCCCTGGCCATTTTTCCCCCCATTTTTGAGTGTTTTTGAAGAATGTGTTAATGTCAGTGATGTTGATGATAGTAAAAAAGAAAAAAATAGTCAGCATTTATAAACTCAGTATGTGTCAAGAGCTGTGTTCTTTTCAGAGACTGTCACATGGCACTCCTACCCTTCACAGCTGAGAGAAGTGTCAGCGAGGCCAACGTCTTGTCCAGACAGGAAACAGATAGGAATTGGAACAGAAGCACACTTAACCCCTGTGGATGACTATACTGCTCTTCATAGGTTCTGAAGGTGTCAAGCATCCCTGTGTGTCTGCTGTTGAGCTACATACTGAGTGTAACGTCAGGAAATCCAGATGGTCATTGGGTCCTCGTACAGGTGCCTGATATGGTGAAGGAGCTAGTGCGGCATGGTGGTGGTACTGATCAGTTTGTCTTTCTTTTCTCTACTCCTCAGTCTTAACTTCAAAGACCCTGAAGCAGTCAGAGCTCTGACTTGTACTCTCCTGAGAGAGGACTTTGGACTTTCTATTGACATTCCTTTAGAGAGACTAATTCCCACAGTTCCCTTGAGACTTAACTATATTCACTGGGTAGAAGATCTGATCGGTCATCAGGATTCTGACAAAAGTACTCTCCGAAGAGGAATTGACATAGGTAGGTAGTACTTAACTTCTTTTTGCGACCAAGAGTAAGTTCCATAGGTTTTGCATTGTACATTCTTTATAAAGTCCTTCTAGTACTTACTGTGAAAGAAGCTTTTGTTTGCTGCATGTGGACATTTCTACGTTGGTTTCTCTTGAGAAGGGACGTCCATGTTAGGTAGGGAACAAGGGGGTAAGAGAAGTGTGAAAGGAGAAAGAGACCTTTGTTTACTTAGCTTTGGAGTTTCTACTGTAATATCTTTGTTGGGCATTGTTTACTCTGTCATTAAACAATTTTTAATTTAATTTATTAGTTTTTTTGTTTTTTTTTTGTTGTTTTTTTTTTTTTTTTTTTGAGTCAGTGCTTCTCTGTGTAGCCTTGGCTGCCCTGAAACTGTATAGCCTCTACACATCAGGCTAGTATAGATCTCACAGAGATTTTCTTGCCTCTGCCTCCTAAATGCTGGGATTAAAGGTATGCACCACTATGCCCAGTTCTAAAGCCCTTTCCCCCTTTTTTTCTTTTGTTTATTTTGCTTTTGAGACATCCTGGCTGTCCTGGAACTAGCCTCTGCCTGCTGAGTGCTGGGATTAAAGGTGTACGCTGCCTGGCTTTTTAGTAAACACTTAAAGCCTTGATTTGGCCTCTCAGAATTCCCGTTGTCTGTCCTTAATCCTTACCCGCTTTCTGGGTTCTCTAAGCCCCAGTTTATATGATTTTCTTTTGTTTTTCAAGAATGTCTTTTAGACCCCCAGGCCTTTCAATGTTATTTCCTGTGCTTCAAACTTCTCCCATCTTTATTTTGTTTGTTCCCATTAATACAATACTTGTTAACTCAAGACTGCTTTCTCTGATCTTGAAACCTAAGAAAGGTTACTTTCTTGGTTATAATACTTGGTTAATATTTTTATTTGCCACTAGACTGGAAACTGTAGTTACAGTAATCTTGCAAGGCCTGCCAAAGTTTTTGGATAAAAGCACTGTTCTTTTAACACTTGTAACACTGTGCTTCATGTGTGCTAAGCACAGAGACCTGATTTAAAGCTTTTTATGTTGATGATAGAAGACGGCGATGGGGCTTCGGAAGCTAAGATCTTGACTTGAAAAGTGTTACGGTATTTGTGATCCCAGCACTTGGGTTGTGGTAGTGGGAGGATAGCAGATTCCAAGCCAGTGCTTGCCTTGGCTACGAAGTGAGCTCATAGCTACAGAGGATGTGGAGAAAAGGCACTCTAGCCTATTTGGTGCTAATTGCATTTTAATTTTGCCCCAAACCGTCTAACATGGCACTTGGGGATATGTGAGGTTAATGGATTTTAGCTCTTCACGGGGGGGCAGTACTGCCGAAATCGTCTTTCTAATTAGGGTTCTATATAGATTCTTCCCCCAGACTCCTATCCGTTTGCTCTAATTCCATGACGAGGCTTTCCATTTTTATTTATTATTATAAAGATTGTTACCCACTTAAAATGTCATCTGGCTTTCTGAGGATATCAGAATGTCAGAATACAAGCTTCTTGGTCTTTGTGATTGAGGACCAATTTTAGGAGGATAGAGGAGAGGTCTTTTTACCTGAATTTTTCCCTTTTGAGGTGAAATTAACAGAAGTCCCCTCCCTTTTTTCCTTCAGAGGTGACTAATGACTCTAGTTGGAATGCCCATGCTTAAACAATTGTGACTCTTTCTTCCACCTCCCAAATTCCTAAGGAGGTGTTTGCCTGACAATAACTGGTTGGCAAAAAGGTTAAGTATTGCAGCATTTACTTTGGTCTCTGTTTCCTAGCCTGTTGAGAGTAGGTCATGAGGACATGATGGGATGAGAGGGCTTCCCTGAGCTAGAAGCACCTCCAGACCCTGTAATGCAATCAGTTTGTGGGAAAGCAGTCCTGGAGTGGCTGGTCCAGGCTGTAGCTATCAGGAGAAATCCTAGTTTTCTTTCCTTTGGATAAACTTACTAGGATCTAATTGGTTAAGATTTGTCAGTGGAGAGGAGGGAGGGAGGGTGAAATTGGGAGGGGATGGGAGAAGGAGCTACAGCTGGGATACAAAGTGAATAAACTATTTAATAAAAATTAAATAAAAATTAAAAAAGAAAAAAAAAAAGACCTGTCAGTGTTGTAAAGGCAGCATTTTTTGGGGGGGGGGGTTGGAGGGAGACCAGGCTACAGTTAGGGACCCTACACACAAATTTAGGATCAAATACTGGCTGTTGAAGCTGCTTTTTTGCATGAAGCGCTGTCTTCTCAATATGTACCTGTGCTAGGGTTAGTCAGTGACTGATATGACTGACATTTTCCACAACCACAGAGAACTGGATCATTTGACGCCATGAAAATCACACATGTAGACACACCATTCTTCTGCTTTTCAAGAATGAGCTATGTGTATGTTTTGTTTTTCTCTCCCCCCCCCCCCTTTTTTTTTTCTTTTTTGGAGACAGGGTCTCAAATTCAATCTTACTGCCTCTGCTTCCCAAGTCCTGGAATTACAGGTTTGTGCCACTGCATTGATTTGCTTGAAGATACTACTGTGGTGTTGTAACAAATAGCATTGCATTGAGGAAATTGAGTTTTGTGTTGGTATGTAAAGACTTCTATGAGCAAGTTGAATTTTGGCTACTTTAGGTTCATAAGTTGTGTTTTCCTGGTCCTCCAGTTATCCACACCTCATTTTACACACAGCATACAAGAGTAGGGCAGAAAGGTTTCTGTCCTCTCAGAAGTTTGTGCTGATGAGGAATAAGACTCACAGGTGAAATGAGGAATGAGCTCAGTAGCTACGGAATATCACCACTTGTGAGTTAAACTGTGCAGACCTGAAAATTCTTAGGAAGGAGGGGGCGGGGTTTGTTGTACTCACTCATATGTGGGATGTACTCTGGATTTTTATTTACTAGGTACTGGGGCATCCTGCATCTACCCCTTACTTGGAGCAACCTTAAATGGCTGGTATTTCCTGGCAACAGAAGTGGATGACATGTGCTTCAATTATGCTAAGAAAAACGTGGAACAGAATAACCTATCTGAGCTCATTAAAGGTTGGTTCCTCTGAATAAATAGCCCCTCAAGCTTTGTTCATTAAAATTTTTCTAATTTAACATGTATTATATTACCTTCTGTGAGTTTTTGTTTGAACAGAATCTCTCTGTGAAGCTTTGGCTGCCGTGGAACTCACTTTTCGGGCCAGGTTGACCTCATTCTCATAGAGATCTTCCTGCATCTGCCTCCTGAGTGCTGGGATTAAAGATGAGTGCCACCATGCCTGGCTTGTTATCTTTTGCTGAAATGTATAGACTTCAAGTTTTGAATAATCTTATATATTGTAATTGGTTTTGATTCCAGAATTAACTTAGAAGGAATATATTAAGTATAGTTGATCCTTTGATATTTCTATATTGTGATTTGTGAATTTGGCTTCTGTCTTGGTTACTGTTCTATTGCTCTGATAAGACAGTATGGCCAAGGAAGTATGGAAGAAAGAGTTTATTTGGGTGTGTAGTTTCAGAAAGTTAGAATCTATGACCATCATGGTGGGCAGCATGAAGCCATGCAGGCAGGCAGACATGGTGTTGGAACAGCATCTTGAGAAACAACCCCAGTGGTGTATTTTTTTTTTTTTTAACCTCAGAGCTCACCCACAAAGGCCCACCTCCTCCAGCAAGGCCACACCTCCTAATTCTTTTGAGGGGAGGGGCTTGTCTTATCCATTCATCCATCCATCCATCCATCCATCCATCCATCCATCCATCCATCCATCCATCTGTTATCTCTGTGTGGCCTTGGCTGTCCTAGACTGATTTCTAGACCAGGCTGGCCTTGAACTCACTGAGATCTGCTGCCTCTGCCTCCTGAGCACTGGGATCACAGGTGTGTGTTACTGTGTCTAGCCCCACCTTCTAATTTAGTAAGTTAAGTAGGTTTGTTTTTCAGTAGATCTTAAAAATTTGTTCTGTTGAGGCTGGAGAGATGGCTCAGGGGTTGAGAGTACTTAGTATTTCCAACACTAACATGGTGGTTCACAACTGTCTGTAATTCTTAATTCCTGGGGATCTGATGTCTCTGGCTTCTGAGGATAACCAGCATGCATACGGTGTACACATACATACAAACAAAGCAATCTTACACCTAAAATTAAAAACAAATATTAAGGTATGCATGCCATGTCCAGCTATTAAATCGTCATCGTCATTATTTTGTTATATGTTTCTTAAATGGTTTTGGCATATATTTTAATATACTTTATTTTCTAGAACTGTTCACAGCAAGATTGAATGTCCTCATGAATGCTGGGATTAAAGATGTTCAGAACTATGCTCTTCCAGATACGTTCTTTGAAAGTGTTTTCTTGCAGCTTGTGATTTTTCATTTTCTTGACAAAGTGTTTTCGGGGGGGGGGGGACACACAAAAAAACCCCCTCTCTCTCTCGCTTGCTATCTTTTTTTTTTTTTTTTTTAAGAGATAGGGTTTCTGAGTGTAGCTCTGGCTGTCCCGGACTTGCTTTGAAGACCAGGCTGGCCCCAAATTCACAAATATCTGCCTACCTCTGCTTCCCACAGCCTGGCTTCAAACATTTCTTTTTCTTTTTGAGGGTTTAATATACACATAAGTAGAATATATATGTATACACAGTTAGCGGGGTCAAGATGGGGAAGAGCATCTTGGGACAGGTAGGAGGCTGGGTTCACTCATTGCACTCTAGTGACTTAGCTGTGAGGCATTGACAAACCAGATAAAAAAGCTCACCAAATCTCTTCCTGGATTGAATTGGGTTGATGGTCAGTGCAAAGAAAACACCTGTAGTTAACTCTTTCTTGCTTGGGGAATTCTAAACTGGAGAATGGGAAGGTTGCTTACAATATCCATATCAGAACCCTGTAGAAGTGGTGGGTTAAAACCTAAGGATCGCATTCCCCATCCTCCCTAGACTCAGGGTCAGGTAACAGTCTATATCTAGGAACAGAGGAGAAAGTGGGCCTGTTTCTGCCTGCATCTCCATATCAGGCTCAGTAGTTCATGGTCCCAACATAGTCTCCAGAGCAGAAGTTGGGGCCGTCAAATACTGGCTTCTCTTTGGGGCCAGGAACGGATCTAGTGGTCTTCTCATTAAAATTTCTGACTCAAACCCATCCCAGGCCCATGGGAAGTGCATAAAGGAGGAAACACTGACACTTGGGACTTCAGCCTTAGGAATAGCAGAAAACTAGATTCTAGCCAGTCCAGCATAGAGACACAAACACTGAATTCTGGCCTTTCTTCGTTCCTTCCAGGTGGAGGTTGAATAGCTTCTTTACCTTCTTTCCCACTGCTTTTCTTTAGATCTAATCATCTCTCCCATACTTCATCTTCACCTTAGCTCCTCAGTGTGGGGAAAGAGGGGAGGGAAGGGGAGGAGGAGGAAGAATGTGCCAATTTCTAGTCACATAGAAATAGCTTCTACCTCCCCCCTATATTTAGGAAATTAAGTTTCCCCTCCCCTGACTCCAATCCCTTCATGAGGAGGAGGAACTAGGTGAGCTAGATAGACAGACATGCACACCCACACACGTTCATGCACACGCACATGTTCGAGCATGTGCACGTGCGCGCGCACACACACACACACACACACACACACACACACACACACACACGGGGTTACGGCCAAGTTAGTAAGTTGCCCTAGCCCCTCCCATTGAGGATAGGGAAAGGAGCGGTCTAATGAAGATCCAACCTTCCTCTCCTTCCTCCTCTACCTCCCCTTCTGCATTCTTTGGTGGGGGAGCCAGTTTGATTTCTTCCTCAGGGCTGTCAGATAATGTCATTGTACTTCTTGGCCTGGGGATTCCGGTTAGCTTGGTGTCCAGCTCATCCTCCTTAGAGATCTTCAGCACATGGGTTCTGTAGTCAACCACCATAGTGAGTAGGTCAGGATGGCAGGATATCTCAACGATGTGTTCAATGCAGGAGAGGTGGTGTTTGTTCAGCTTGTTGTGGCTCACCAGGGAGCTAAACAGGCACTTCCTGTAGTGATCTCTTCACCTGCTGGGGATGTCTTCCTTGCAGGCTTATTTGAGCTGTTCCAGATCTTCCAGGGTGATGATGTTGGTCAGGTCCTGAAGGAGAGTCTGGTATTCTGCCAAGATGCCTCCACAGCTCAGTGAGCTCAGAGGGCTCAGTGTATGGGCACTTCTGGGTCCCTGGTTCCGAAGTAGCGTCCGGAGCCTGCTCTGTGGCTCCTGCTGCTGCTGCCTCTTCTACTTGTGGAGCAGAGCAAACATTTCTTTTCAGTGCAGTTTTTATCTCCAGTCTATGTCATATATTGTATATTGGCCTGATACTTGGGATCTTCCTACATAAATCAACTGGCTGGGTTATGGGTAGACAAGGAAGCCTCTTTGGGCTGATCATGGGCAGCTTTTGTTTCCTCCCAAGTTTGGCAGCAGTGAAGGGTAGCGGTAGGCTGGCGGCAGCAGCAGATAATGTCCTCTAATGTCCCTTCGTCTGTTATAGGTAAAAACTTGTGCTCTTCAGCTGGTTCTGACAGGTCCTTAGTTCATCCTCACCAGCCTTTCAAGACTTGACAGCACCCTAAACTTGCAGACCAGGGTGTGCATGTGCTCTTCTAAAGGCTGACTTCTTAAAGCCTTTCCCCTCTCCAGTCTCAGCTCTCTGCCCTCTCTTAATATGTTTCTGCTTCTGTCCCTCATACGGGATAGCATCACTGAATGTGGAAGGGGTTCTGGGGGATGGGTAGGAGGGGGGAGAAGTTGTTTAAAAGGTTTCTGAACATTCAGTAACCAAAGATGAATTCAGATTAAGTGCATAATGAATCTGAAGTGTTTCTGGAAGCAGCATGTTGCATGATCGGACTTCACTGTATCCCTGGTTCTGAACCTAGAACATATGCTTTGTGCTGTGAAAGCCAGCACACCATGCTGACCAAAAAACACTACATGAAATACCTTGGTTCAGATTTGAGGCCATTGTGTTAGAAATTGATGTGTTTTGTTGTGGTGGTTTTTTGTTTTTATTTTTTGAGCACTTAAACAATGCTTTAGCTATGGGAAAGCTTTCCTATTGTCATTCTCCAGGATGTAACTATTAAATTAATATAATTTTAGATCATGTTGTAATAGAATATTTGAGACCATTTGGGAGCCATCAAGATGGGTCAGTGGGTAAATGCACTTTTTGCCACGCCTGATGACTTGAGTTGAATCCCCAGGACCCACATGGTAGAATAAGAGAACCCAAGTTGTCCTCTGACCTCCACATTCTTGAGCATGTGTGCCAATGTGTGCGCACACACATACACACACACACACACACGACTCACGTGTATATACACATACCTATCTATATGTTTGTTTAATTGGTGTTTGTGCCCTGGGGAGATGGGGAGAGCTTACTGCTCTGGTAGAGGATCCTGTTTTAGTTCCCAGCACCGAGATCAGGTGATTCACGACTGCCTGTAACTCCAGTTCCAGGTGATTGGATGCCCTCTCTTATGCAGGCTCCTCAATAGGTGATTTGCACGTGAACTTTTACAGGCACACTAAGGAAAAATATACGTCTTTCAGATTCTGGGTCAGGAGCTCATCCGTCGAGCTATCCAGGCCTTCTGGAGTAATATATCTCTGAGAGCAACAAAAGCTGGGCATGGTGGTGCATACTCTGATCTCAGCACTCAGAGGTAGGAGGTGGATTTTTTTGAGGTCAAGTCCAGTGTGGTCTATGGAGCCAGTTCTAGGCCAGCCAGAGCTACACAGTGAGGCCTCGGCAGCAGCAGTAGTAGTTGGAGCAGTAGTTGTGGTAGTTGCAGTAGTTGTAGTTTTGGTTGTATTAGTAGTTGTGGTAGTAGAAGAAGAATGAAAAAAGTAATAAACAAAGATTCCACTTGAACCACACATGGGTGTGCATGCCTTTAACCCCAGCAGTCGGGAGGCAGAGGCAGGCAGATCTCTGCGAGTTCGAGGCCATCCTGGTCTACAGAGAGAGTTCCAGGACAGCCAGGACTCTGTCTCAAAAAAACAAAACTTATGCTGTTTGAGTTGCTAACTTAAATACATTAAAAAATTGTTTAGATGAATTTTAGTGTGGGATCAGAACAGAATTTCCAAGGATTTCTGAGATGCTTTGCTGTTTTATGCTATTTATTTTTGTCAATCAGCACTCTTAGACTGATGGTTATAAAATGAAAATATCGATCACCTGAAAAACATGTTCTATGACTTGCAGTATCACATACTCAGCCAAGATTTAACTTTTATGTAAAAAAAATAAACACAGCATATCCATTTCTACTGCAAATTTTCTTTCACCTTTAATGAATGAAAAAACTATATGCCAAGTAATTGCTTCATGCTTCTTTATGATTTGTCAGTTAATGTTTGATTTGTGTACTTTTGAGTTGTTTATTTTAGACAGGGGGTTCTAGTATAGGCTGGCCTTGACCTCTGTAGACGAGAATGACCTTGAATTTGCTGATCTTGCCTCCACCTTCCAAATGCTGGGATTATAGGTGTCTGTCACTGCCTGTCTGTTGTTCAGGGAATTGATACTAGGGCTTTGTGTATGCTAAGCAGTCACTCTAGAAACTGAGCTACATTTCACTGCCACTTAAATTTTTTTTTTTTCTTTTTCTTTTTTTGAGACAGAGTCTCTTGGTATTCCAGGCTGGCCTTAAGCTCACTGTGCAGCTGAAGATGACCTGGAACTCTGGGGTTATCGATGTGGACTATCATGCCCACTTACATACCTGTTTTTTAGGCCTGTACACTCAGAGTCACATAAAGTCTCAGTCAGAGGGGGTCATGAGTGCTAAAATCTTAGGAAGTTTTGGTCTAGATCTCATGATTCTGGTGATAACACAGTGTATGTCCGATATAAACTGTCTCAAACAGCCTGCCTATGAGTGTGCCGTCAGAGCTGAAGCAGCTACTTAGAGCAGTGGTTTCCTTAATGGGATGGCTGGTGCTGGCTAAGCCCTTCTGCCCAAGGCAGCGGAGAGTCCAGTAGCTGGTACTTGAATTACATTATCTTTTTTGAATAGATTTTTTTTGTTTTTCTTTTTTTTAATATTTATTTATTCTATATGAGTGCTTTATCTGCATGCATACCTGCATACCAGAAGAGGGCATCAGATCTCAGTATAGATGGATAGGAGCTACCATTTGGTTGATGGGATTTGAACTCAGGACCTCTGGAAGAGCAGACATGGCTCTTATCTGCTGAGCCATCCCTCCAGCTCGAATTACATTATCTTATTTCCTGACCTCTTTGGTTGCTGGAAAATGAACACCAGGAGGAGTATTTATGATATGAATTTAAGGTCGGCCTGGTGGCATAAGTTATCTTAGCTCCTTGGGAAACTGAGGCCTGCAGATCTAAAGTTTAAGGCTCACCTGACTGGTTTGTATACTTACAGTAGAAAATATCATTGGGTTGAAAATTTTTTCATGAGTAGAACACTTGCCTTGTATTTGTGAGGTTCAGTCTGTAGTACTACAAACAAAAGCAGATAGGAATTTCAGGGGCTTATTAGCACTGATAATGATTTTGAACCATGGTTTAGCACTGTATCACACCTGCCCAGTACACTAATGAGAGTTCCCTTTCTGTCTCCTTCCTGCCTCAGCACTCTGAGTTGAGGCTCTAACTTGAGAATCAGGTTTGTTTATTTTTGTTGTTTTTGTTTAATTTAATGTGCATTGGTGTTTTGGCTGTGTGAGGATGTCAGATCCTCTGGAACAGTTGTGAGCTGCCATGTGGGGCTGGGAATTGAACCTGGGTCCTCTAGAAGAACAGCTAATGCTCTCAACCACAGAGCCATCTCTCTAGCCCCCGAGAATCAGTTTGTTAATAGCTAAAATTTGAAGTGTTGTTTTTGTGTTTTTTTTCATCAGTTCATTTGTGTGTTAGAAAGACTACAAAACCCCAGCAGTGTAGACACAGCAGTGTAGAGCAGTGGGTTCTCTCTCCCTCCACAGGGGTCTTAGTCCCCGGTGTGTGTTCCCAGCAGACGTTCACCCTGTTGTAGTCTGCCTCCGCAGTGTTTTGTTCGGAACAGCTCTCGCTCTTTCTTTCTAGTGCTACATTGACTGCATGTTTATGCTATTTCAAATGATCCCTGAACAGTGCGGAAGCGTTGTCTTCTGTTTCTCTGTGCCATAGAAAATATGAGTTGTAAGTCATGAGTTACAAGTCAGCAAAATATATTAAAAATTTTTTTCCAGCCAGCCCATGATGGCACACACCTTTAATCCCACACTCAGGGAGGCAGATCACTGTGAGTTTGAGGCTAGTCTGGTCTATAAAGAGAACTCCCAAGGCTACACAGAGAAACTCTGTCTCGAGAAACAAAAAACAAAACAAAACAAAAATCCCATTAATGAACTAATTTATTCACTTTACACTATACATCCTGGTCTTCGCCCCCTTCCTCCTCTCTCCCCAGTCCCCCCTTCCCAACCCCTCCCTATATTTTTAGTTTTTTAATTAAAAATTTGTATATGTATTGATGTTTAACCTGCATGTTTGTCTGTGCACCACATATGTGCCTAGTGCCCAAGGAGGCCAGAACACAGGGTCAGATCAGACAGTAATACTCTGCCATGTGCATGCTGGGAATAGAGCCTAGTCCTCTGAAAGAGCTGCCTGTGTTCTTAACCACTGAGCCTTCTCTCTAGCCTCTTCTTCTCCCTCCTTCCTCCTGTTTTGAGACAGTAAAACTCCTAGCTGTGTGTGTAGCCCAGGCTAGTTTCAAACTAATAGAGATCTGCCTTGATGAAAGGCTTGTGCCACTACACCTGACCAGCATTGTATATTAAATACTTTATCTTGGGGCTGGAGAGATGGCTCAGAGGTTAAGAGCACTGGCTGCTCTTCCAGAGGTCCTGAGTTCAATTCCCAGCAACCACATGGTGGCTCACAACCATCTATAATGAGATCTGGTGCCCTCTTCTGGCATGCAAGTGTACATGCAGACAGAACATTGCATACATAATGAATGAATGAATGAATGAATAAATAAATAAATAAATAAATGCTTTATCTTTTGGCCAAAATGTACTAAAGATGAGGTTATGTATCTAAGAGGCTTTCAGAAAATGTGCTTGTGCTTACTTCCCATAAAGAGATTTAGCCGTTAATTTTTATGTGTGAGTGGGTGGCCGTGACATGTTATTTTACCCAAAAGTCTTCATCACAGTGTTCTTCAATCACTTTCTACTTTTTGATGTTTTAAGTTTTAAAATATTTATGTGTGAGTCTTGCATCTGTCTGTGTATCTCTGTGTGCAGAATGTGCAGTGCGCAGTGCCTGCAGAGGTCAGAAGAGTGTGCCAGATTACTCTGGGGCTGAACTTACTGGTGGTTAGCTGTCTTGTGGGTGATCAGAATAGAAACCAGGTTGTCTGGAAGAGGGAACAGCTTATGCTCTTAATCATTAAGCCTTCTAGTTAGCTTCTTCACTGTAGTTTTTGAGATGGGTCTTACACTGAGCCTGGAGCTCAATGGCTCAGCCAGGCTACCTGGCCAGCAAGCCCCAGGGACCCTTCTCTTCCTGTTTCCCTGGCGTTGAGGATGGGGGTGCTGCCATGCCCGGTTTCTATTTGGATATTGAGTATCAGATTGAGTCCTTATGTTTGCGAGGCAAGCGCTTTACTGACCGGATTGTCTCCTAATCCTGGGCACAAATTTTGCGGGGTGTGTGTACATTTTATTCTTTATTAAACTTTAATTAAAAAGACAAACTAGGCTTAGCCGAGTGTGGTGGCATGCTCCTTTAATCCTAGTACTAGGGTGGCAGAGACAAGTGGGCCTCTGTCAGTTTGAGACCAGCCCGGTCTACAGAGTGAGACTTTCACAAACAAACAAAAAATAGGGTCTTATTATATAATCTAACCTGGTCTTGATTTTTGTATCCTGTTTCTGCCTCCCATTTGCTCAGACTTCAGGCATGTGCTACCATTCCCTGCTTAATTAATTTAATTCTAGTATTCAGATATTTGCTTTAACTAGCTCAAGTCCCTTCCACGATCATTTACATTTTGTGAACATCATATATTGACAGTCTTTAACATTTTAAAGACTCATATTATGTGAATGAGTGTTTTGCCTGCATATGTGTTGTATACCACATACATACATGGTACCTTGCTTCAGACAAGCTTAAACTTTCTAAGTTCAAACTAGTCTGGAACTTGCAATCCTCCTGCCTCAGCCTCCCATGTACTGGCAATTATAGGTCTCTACACATCAATTTATTTCATCCATAGATTTTGTTCAGTAGCTAACAGCAAATATATTTTTTTCAACCTTCAGCCATTTGTTTACTATCAAATGACAAGAAAGTAGTGATTTTTTACTCTAGGCTAACAAGCTCAGTCCAGCAGAGACTGGGACCTCCCTTGGTTCAATTTTAAAAGTTCAGAGTTTAAGGGGCTTGAGAGGTGGCTCAGAGGTTAAGAACACTGACTGCTTTTCCAGAGGTCAGGAGGAGGTGTTGGCTCTTTCACAACTGACGTTTTAGATGGTTGTGAGCCACAACATGAGTGCGGTGAACCAAACATGGATCTTGGGAGAACCACAAGTGCTCTTACACTCTCCAGCTCCTTGTTACTGATTTTTAAAATATAATTGATTTAGTTTTTAGCAGTTTGAACATAAATTTATTACAGAAAAGTGAGAACTTGCCAGAGTAGGTGGAGTTCCAGGGGGCAAACCTCTTGTTAAGCAGGTTTTACTTGTCTCTCTAGAAAAGAACTAACACTTTTCCAGTAGTCTAAAGGGGACATTGACATGGCTAGTGCATCGGCTTTAATTCCCATTGCTTCGTCCTGACGCTCATTGTGAGCAGTGTGAGGGAATGTGTACACATGCTTGTCAGTGTTGGCCTCCCTAGTTGTGTATTGTGTTGTGCACTTATTTTAAAGCCATTACAGAACAAATGGTAACTAACAGTCCCGTTTTCTCTCTAGTGGTCAAAGTGCCGCAGAAGACACTCCTGATGGATGCGCTGAAGGAGGAGTCTGAGATAGTTTATGACTTCTGCATGTGCAATCCTCCCTTTTTTGCCAACCAATTGGAAGCCAAGGTAAAGTACTTTTAAAATTATCGAATGCTTAGCTAATTTTACCTCATTTGAAGAGATAAGAGCAGAAGGCAGTTTTTCTTTAGCATCTGCATAATTAAGAATATTGTTGGTTTGAGATGTCTGTGAGCCCAGTACAAACTCACAGACAGTTAAACAGTTTATGTAGCTGATGGTCCGGTTACTGAGGCTCCAGGAGCAGTTTGATCAGGGAATTCATAGCATCATGAAAGCTGAGGCTTTGCTTCTAGTCTCCTCTTGGCTCTGTTATTTTTTCTTAGGCTTATTTGGTTGTGAGTGAGCCACTCTTAGGGGGTGAGGTGGTGAGGCGAGAGCTCTTCCTCAAGCTTTGAACCTAAAAACTTTAAACAATTTTTGAGACACGGTTTCTCTGTGTAGCTCCTGGAACTTGCTCTGTAAAGCTGCCTCTGCCTCGTGAGTGCTGGGATTAAAGATGGGCACCACCACCACCACCACCAGGCTAAACTATTTTTAAAATTAAAGTTTATTATTTTATGTGTATGAGTGTTTCTGCCTGCATGAATGTTTGTGTATCACATGTATGCCAGGAGCCTTAGACCCTAAAGTTATGAGTACCATGTGGGTGCTGGGACTGGAACCCAGTTCCTCTGGAAGAACATCTAGTGTTCTTAATTTTAACCACTGAGCTAGCTCTCCAGCCCCTTCACTTTAAACTTAAAAAAAAAAAAGATTTATTTATTTATCATGTATTCAATGTTCTGCCTGTATGTGCCTGCACACCAGAAGAGGGCATCAGATCCCAGGATAGATGGTTGTGAGCCACCATGTGTATGCTAGGAATTGAACTCAGGACCTCTAGAAGAGCAGACAGTGCTCTTAACCACTGATCCCCTTAAACTCTGAACTTTTAAAATTGAACCAAGGGAGGTCCCAGTCTCTGCTGGACTGAGCTTGTTAGCCTAGAGTAAAATGTCACTACTTTCTTGTCATTTGATAATAAATAAATGGCTGAAGGTTGAAAAAAATATATTTGCTGTTAGCTACTGAACAAAATCTATGGATGAAATAAATTGATGTGTAGAGACCTATAATTGCCAGTACATGGGAGGCTGAGGCAGGAGGATTGCAAGTTCCAGACTAGTTTGAATTTATTAGTTTAAACCCGTCTGAAGCAACTTATTTAAACCCTACTTAAATTTTAGAAGAGAGGGCTAGGAAATCTGCCTTAATGGTAGAGTGTTTGCCCAGCACGTGAAAGTCCTCACTTCAAACCTTAGCACTTAACTTCCGCAGCTAAGAACACTAACTCTTCTTGCAGAGGGCATGGCTTTAGTCCTAGCACCTACATGGCAGCTCACAACTTACAACAGTAATTCCAGGGATCTGGCGTCTTAGGCCCCAGTAACACACATACATGAGTACAAACACATAATTACACATAAAATTTTTTTAAATTATTATTATTACTATTTTAGATAGGGTCTCACACCATGTAGGCTGCTTGGAGCTCATTATGTAGACTAGGCTGGCCTGGAACTCACAGAAGTGTCTTACTCTCAAGTGCTGGAATTAAAGGTGTGTACTGTCATGCCCAGCCCAAAATAAATAAATCTTCAAAAAGATTTTTTTTTTTTGCAAAATTAGGAATTTGAGCAGAAATTTATTAGAAATACTAACATTCTTGATTAGAAAATAAAGTGAAGTACAATTTAAATAATTAAAAATTTAGCTTTCAAGTTTGTGAGCAAAAATAACCATACCCTGTAGTAAAATTTATTAAAAGTGTTGTTTTCCTACATTAAAAAATATATAGATAGGGGCTTTGGCTTGCCAAAGAACTTGGTGGCACAGTACTGAGTCAGCAGGGGTTCTCACCTACTGTGCCATTTTCTAGCTGCCTGAATGTCTTATTTCACCATCCTTTTAAATTTAGGTGGGTATTAATAAGCAGCTTGCCTGGCTGCCCGTTTTTTACATTGCTGCCTCTGCTCCAGCCAGAGTGTAAGGCTCCTCAGCACTTCTGAGCATCTGTAGCTTTGGTGTGCCGCCCCGTGGGTGTGGGTGTCGTTCCTCTGAGGGCTGGTTATGCTGGGCATCTTCTCATGTGCTTGGTAACCCTTCGCTCATCGTCTGTGGAATAACACCATTCAGATCCCTTGTCTTACCTACCCCCTTCCAGTGTGGAGGATCTGATCAGACCTTGCACTGAGCTGATTTAGCAGTCCTGGGGCCTTGCCCATTCTGGGCAAACACTGTGCCACTAAGCTGTGTCCTCCCCTCCTCTTTGTCAGTTTTAAAATTGGATTATTTTTCTTTTTTATTAAATTTTAAAGATCCTTTTTTTCCCCCTTTCCCAAGACAGAGTTTCTCTCTGTAGCCCTGGCTGTCCTGGAACTTAATGTGTAGACCAGGCTGGCCTCAAACTTAGAGGTCTGCCTGCCTCTGCCTCTGAGTGTTGAGATTAAAGGCAGCACCACTACTGCCTGGCTGGTTTAAGGATTCTTTATATACATATCCTAGGCCCAAGTCCCTTTAATTATAATGATTTGGAAACATTTTCTCATCCTGTGGTTTGTCTTCAATTTTTGATGGTATTTGCTATAGTGAAGCTGTTTTTAGTTTTGATAAAATATAACTTACCTATTTTTTTGTTGTTCTTATGCTTTTTGGTGCTGAATCTAAGAAACCATTGGCTAATCCAAGTTAATGAAAATTTACTTTTATGTTTTCTTCTTGGGAGTTTTATAACTTAAGCTCTTATATTTAGGTCATTGATGCATTTGAGTTCTTTTTTTCCTATGACGTGAGGTAAGGATAGATTAAATACTTAAGTATAAAAAGAGAACCATAAAAGTATTAGAAGAAAACATAAGTAAATATTTATTTAATCTTTGGGTAGATTTCCTGGCCATGGTATCAAGACAGAAAGCATAAAGGAAAAGCAACAGATTGGGCTATATAAAAGGTAAATGTTTTTATATTTAACCCCCAGGGCCTTGCGCATGCTAGGCAAGTGCTTTCTCACCAAACTACAGCCCCGGCTGGCTGTGTGATCTTTCAAATCTTCAGTGTATGTAGCACAATAATAGCTAGATTACATTCAAAGACTGTGGCCTTTGTTGTTGTTGTTCAGGGTGTAAACTCCCGGAATTCTCGAAGACCTCCACCTAGTTCTGTGAATACAGGAGGCATCACAGAAATCATGGCAGAAGGAGGTGAACTAGAATTTGTTAAAAGGATCATCCATGACAGTTTACAACTTAAGAAAAGATTAAGGTAAGTAGGAATATATATCTTCTAAAGAAATGATGTCTCTTTAAGGAACAATAGTCAGTGCAACTGAAAAATAAGTAGATACTGTCCAAAAGGCTGCACAGATGACAGGGAGGAGCTCCCAGGTGCTTGTCACTCCCATCAGTGTAGACCTGTGATGGAACAAAACCAGATCAAACATGGCTTTTCGTTAGAAAACACATAGGCTGGAATCTGTCACCTGAACCAGAATCAATTTATTACCTAGTCCTTGAAGCAGTTGAGGTTCTTGGACTTAGTTTCCTAAACAGTGACAGATATGAGGACATAGAGTCAGAAACTTATGAAGGGAAACAGATTACCAACTGTCTCCAGAGATGGGTCAGGGCTGTTGTGTTTTAAAAGCTGACCATTTTGGACAGCCACCTGCCGTAAGGCAGTGTTAGCACTCAGACAGCAGAGTGTCTCCTGGTGCTTTGCACCCTGCCACATGTTGGTATGATGGATAATGAGGTAGCTGAGAGCTAAGAAGAGCTCTCAACCCTAGGATTTAGTTTCATGAAATAGAGATAGTGTGTATTTTTATTTATTTATTTTTGTGTGTGGTAAAAACATAATAAATACTTCCAAAAATTGTATGTTTATTAAGGGTAGAGGCCATGTTAGGGAGATTGAACACAAGGCCTCACCTTGGCAGGCACACACCCAACACTAAGTTACATCACATCCAAATATTAGTCTTTGGTTTGTTTGTTTCTTTTTAATTTTTTGCCTGCATGTGTATGTATGAGTGACACACGAATGTCTGGTGCCTGGGAAGAAAGAATAGGGTGTTGGATTTTTTGGAGTAGAGTTTCAAATGGTTGTGAGCCGCCATGTAGGTTTCTGGGAATCAAATTCTGGTTCTCTGAAAGAACAGCCAGTGCTCCCAAATGCTGTAACATCAGATCAGCAAGTTGTTTGTTTGTTTGTTTGTTTTTTGAGACAGTTCCTCTTGGCTGGCTTCAAACTCATAGAGGTCCGCCTCCCAAATGCTGGCATCAAAGTAGGTCACCACCATTCCAGGCCAGAACTCTTGGTTTTCCAAAGCTGCACTGGTTAACCAGCTCCCTGTTTCTTCTCTTCAGCTCCAGCCATCTTCTGTCTTTGAATTTGACTCCTCTGATACATCATCTATGTGAAGTCACACAGTACTACTTGTCCTTTTCTGATTGACTTAGTTCACATTTTGCTGAGCATAATCTTTTTCATGCTGTAACCCTGTTGTTACATGTGTTAAGAGTTCTCTTTTTAAAAAGGGCAAATATTTTTCAGTTTGGGGTGTTTGTTGTTGTTGTTTTCTGTTTTAGTTTGTTTGTGACAAGGTCTTCATGTAGATCCTTGACTAGTACTTGCTGTGTATCCTAAGCTGCCATCAGAATTGTGATGGACTTTCTGTCTCTGCTTCCTAAGATTACAGGTGTGGACCACCATACCCATGAGGTGTGTTTTATTTTTATCAATAATAGAAATAATTTTCTACAATATCCCAGGGCAAGCCAGTGAAATTTGGCAGTTGGATTAGTGGGGGATAGGAAAGGCTATTGCTTCAGAGACCCAGACCCGTGGCCTCGGTGTAGTGCTTGAGTTCACGGTGCAGCTTTTGGCTTCCATCCATCTTGCAGGAGGCTCTTTCTCCACATCATGAAAGGTCTTGGAGATGACAGGGTGGGGTGGGGGAATCCTCCTAGGCTTGTAGGAAATTTCACTCTTTTCCTGGTCAGTGGTCTCTTTGGTCGGCACAGCGCTCTCCTATGTCTCTGTTTTCTTCAGCTTGGCCTTCCGTATCAAAGCTGGGGATTTCCCCTATGTCTGGCTTCTCTGCCATTTCTTTCAACCAGTGGAGTCTTGCTCTGAGCTCACTGAGCTCACTATGCCTGGTGCTCCCACTCCTGTTACTGCAGCAAGAGACAACCATGACCAATTTTTTTTTTTTTTTTTTTTTTTTTTTTTTTTTTTTGTTTCTCTGCGTAGCCTTGGCTGTCCTGGACTCATGTTGTAGATCAGGCTGGCCTAGAACTCAGAGCAGTCTGACTGCCTCTGCCTCCATGAGTGCTGGGATTACAGGCGTGTGCCCTACACACCATGACCAAGTTTATTATTCCATTATATATATAAAGCACATTTATTTATTCATTTATCCATCCAGTCATGGCAACTTATATTGCTTTTAAAACCCTTTGGCTTTTGAATGAGACAGTATGAGTATGGGTCTACAAATACTTTTTTTTTTAAGATCCTATTTTAAATTCTGCTTTTGTTTACCTAGAGGTGGAATTTCTAGGTAGAGATTTTTTTCTCCCTTTTGTATTTGTAAGTGCCTGAAGCTGCTTATTTTGGCCAAGTACAATTGCATATACCTATGGTCATAGCACTTACATAAGCAGGAGGGCTGTGGGTCAAGTCCATACTGGTCTATAGGAAAGATTTTGTCGTTAAAAATGATGCTTAATTTAGTAAATTTTAAGTCAACATGTATTCTGATTTGGTAGTGTGAACTTTAAGTACTTATGGAAAGCAGCTTGAGGAAGCTGTAGAAGTGGCTCAGCAGTTCAGAGCACTTACCTGGGGCCGAAGCTCTTCTCCCAGCCTCCACATAATAAAGTGGACCTCTAGACCCCGTCTGCAAACCCAGCTGTGGGGATACAGAGAGACAGAAGGATCATAGAACTTGCCGGCTTACAACCTAGCAAGAAAGCACCAGTCTTCCCCCACCCCCAGTTCAGGGAGAGAGCCTGCCTCAGAGGAATAGGAGGAATACGACAGAACACACTTCATACCCGTTTCTGGCTTCTTCATACGCACATAGGAACCACCCTCCCAGACTCCCACAAATAAATACATTAAAAAAAGCAAGAGGAAAATAGCTTGATTATTGTATGGTCTGCCTCTCACACATCACAGAAGCCCTTTGGCTTAAGGTTAATGCGTTTTGTTGTTTCAATTGATTTTTTTCAAAGACATATTAGAGTATATTGAAGGAGAAAGAGCTTGGGCTAAGCAGCCTTGTGGAAAGTCTGAAGTAAAGTAAATTTAAAGAAAGTCAATAGAGCACGGAAACTTGAAAAAGAAATAGACATATGACCATTGTGGTCTATGACCATTTCATCATCTTCTGGCTTTTGTTTCCATTCTTTTTTTGAGAAAGGCTCTCATTTATGTAGCTTTGGCTGTCCTGGAATTTGCTGTCTAGACCAAGCTGGCCTTAAACTTGTAGAGAGCTGACTGCCTCTGCCTTGTGAGTGTTGGAAGTAGAGACTTGTACCACCATACCTGGGTTTTGGGGGTTTGGGCCAACCAGAAAAATGGGGGTTCTCTTAGGCTATAATTTACTGGGGAGGGAGCTGTTACTTTTTTTAGGAGACTTTTAAATTATACATTTATCTCCACAGAGTCTTCATCTTAACTACAAAACTAAGTTTTAGGCGGTGGTTACAGGCCACAGGTATGTGGCATCAGAAGTCTGGTTTTTCTGTGTTCCTTTTTGGGCTATTGCTGAGGGTGCCTGCCTGCCTGCCCTCAGGCATTTTCTTACACCGATGAAATTGTTCTTGAGTTTAAAAAAAGTTTTAAAGGAACATTCTAAGGAACAGAAAGCTACTTATAGAATATTCTAGGTCTGCTTATACCTGGCTCTGCAGCAGTCCCAAAGTTGAGGAAGAGGTATAGGTTGTCTGAGGAGAGCCATGGTGCCCCTGGGTGGTTGGCCATTTGGGGAAATGTCACCATTACAGTCAATATAGATAAAGTGTTCATCTGTCTGTGGTTAGGGCTTGGGCAGGTTTTAGAGGCGCAGGATCAGCTACCAGAAACCACCTGGTGGTTCACAACTGTCCCTCACTCCCAATTTCATGGGCCTCAACAGCTTCTTCTGACCCCAGAAGGCATCAGGCATGTACATGATGCACATAATATGCATGCAAGCAAAACCCATACATTAAAAAAAAAACTTTTAAAAATGTAAATATTAATTTTTCTTTTTTCTCCTAAAGACACACAGAAACTCAGACGTAATGCTCAGTAACAGTTTAGTTCATGGCCACCATATTTTGTTTGCATTTGTGAGGAACTTGAAGGGTAAAGTTGTACAACTTGGTTTTACTTATAAGGTAGATTTTCTGATTCTGTTTCAGTGGTCTGTTCTGCAGTTATATTCTAAATAGACCACAGTTGCAGCGTGTAGCCATCCTGGCCTATATGAGATTGCAGGGGGAAAATGTGAAAGTTATTTTTAGCTAGGACAGTTTAGAATTAGTGTCAGTTTAAATGATGGATTTTGAGATGAAGCAGACCTTCAGCTGCTCTGGTGGCTGGAGCCTTTGCTCTCGGGGTCTGTTTATGTGTACCAAGGGGTTGGGCTCGTAGCCATTTTCACCCCAAGCTTCTGCTTGTAACTTGCTTTTCTGTATTACAACTTAAATTTTAAAATTGGCTTAAATAGCCAGATGCAGTGGTGCCTGCCTGTAATCCCAGCTCTCAGGGAGGCAGAGGCAGAAGCAGGCGAAGCTCTATGAGACCATCCTGGTCTACAAAACAAGTCCAGGACAGCCAAAGCTACAGAGAGAAACCCTGTCTCAAAACAAAGCAAAACACCTCCAAAATGGCTTAAATGTCTAACTAACCTTGCCCTACTGAAATAAGACAAAGTTTCTCAAACTTATTACTGTTGAGTTATCCATGGGTCAGTGTTTATAATGACAGTTGCTTGGTAATCTTTCACATAATTGATTACATAGCTGAGTCAAGATGAACATGAGGCTACAGTACCTCCTAATGCCCCTAAATGACATATATTAGAAGTGCATAAGATCCCCCAACCCTCACCCCAAAATAAATAAAAAGCTGGTATGATGGCACAAGCCTTTAATCTCAGCACTTGGTGACAGTGACAGGTAGAATCCTGAGTTCGAGGCCAGCCTGGTCAGTAGACTGAGTCCCAGACAGCCAAGGCTGCACAGAGAAAAACCCTGTCTTGAAAAACAAACAAACAAACAAAAAAAAACAAAGAAAGTATGCATACGACCTAGTTCAAGCCAAATTGTGTTCCAATGAATAAGTCTATAAACAGCAAAGGTAGAAAGATCCCCATTTTGTAGTTGTGATAGTAATAATTGATCTGTGGGAAAAAATCAACAGTAGGTAATTTGAAGAACTGGATATTATTGGCTGGGGCTATAGCTTAGTTGCATAGTGTGTGTGGAATATTTTTGTGCCCTGGGTTTGATCCCAAGCATTGAAAAACAACGAAGAATAGTTTCAGAGTACTCTAAATAGAGTAACGACTTTCAAAGAGGACTGTGGGAAATTTAAAGTGGAGAAGCCATGAACTTCTGATTGATATTTCTCGAAGGACACAGGACAACTGATATGCCCTTCACAACAAAAATAGGTACTCAGACTCTAACTTACATCCTGACATGAAAGTAAAATATGATCAAAGAGCAGTTCCAGATTGAGGAAACTAAGACATGACAGGTAGCTAAAATGCATGAACACACACTGGACTGTGTATGCAGGGAAAGTCGGGATAATTATGAAAGTGAATGTGGACTATGTTCCAGTCCAGATCATAATAATGATATGAATGTTATGCTTTCTCCAGTTTTGATAGTTGTTGAATGTTGGTACCAAAAGGGAAGTTCTTGTTTGTAAACTGTACATGCCAGAATAATAGGGTTCAGGAATGTTTCATAGCTTAGATGGCTTCCACCCCCCACCCCCAAGAAGTCTAGAAAAGATACAGAACAAACACATGGGGGAACTTGATAACTACTGAATCTGGGTGAAGGGTTAGGAGAGTCATTGTATTAATCTTGCAACTTTTCACAGCCAGAAATTATTTCAAAATAGTTTTTCTTGAAACTTAGCATCTCAGAGGAATTTTGAAATGCTGTAATGAATAGAGAACTACTTCCATGATTAAAATACTGTAATGGGTTCAAAGTCTCTTGGGTAACTAGATCTTCCTTTGTTCCTTTTTGCTCTACTTGCATTTTGATTAGTTGTCACGGGGTATCTCTTGAGATTGTAGGCAGTATTTAGTGGTTAGGCACGTTTATGTGTGAAGCTAGAAACAAAGAGGGTGGTTATATTTGTCTTTAAGACAGTTTTCATGTACCAGGCCAGCTTTTGAACTCACTATTTAGTGGAGGATTACTTTGAATTTCTGATCCTCCTACCTCTACCTCTCAAAGGTATGCACCATTTTGTCCAGGGCTTTGTACTTGCTAGGCAAGCACTATTACCCCGCAGCCCCCTTTCTTGAGACAGTTTCATATAGTCCAAGTATGTGGTTGAGGCTGACTTGATTCTGATACTGCCCTGCCTGAGAACTGGGGTTACAGGTTTGCACCATACTCAACCTGTGTATTTTTTTTATTATTATTAAAAATTTTTAATCATGCACTATTTGTTTTATCTTTTTATTACAATTTATTCACTTTGTATCCCAGCTGTAGCCCCCTCCTTTGTCCCCTCCAATCCCAGCATCTCTCCCACTTCTCCTCCCATGCTCCTTCCTCAGTCCACTGATAGGGGAGGTCCTCCTCCCCTTCATCTGCCCCTAGCCTATCAGGTCTCATCAGGACTGTCTGGTGTATTTTCTTTAAATGTACTTAACAAAAGTAGTTGGGCCAGGAAGAGTTTCTTTAAGTGATATAAGAACCATTCGAGTTACCTACTTCTATAGTAAATATGATCGTGTCTTTGAAGAAATTTGTTTCATCTAGTTGTGAGAATATATAGTAAAAATTGTTTATATTTTTTCTTCAGGCTAGGGATGTGGGTAAATTGGTGGAGTGCTTGCCTAGCATACCTGAATCTCTGGGTCCAATCCCAGCCCACAGCACTGAATAGACTCAGCATGGTGGTACATGCTGTTAATGCTAACAGTAGCTATGAGGTCTCCAGAGTCTGCAGTCAGGAGAATCAGAAGTTCAAGGTCAAAGTCTAGAGCCAGGCATGGTGGTACACCTATAATCCCAGCACCCAAGGAGGCAGAGGCAGGAGGATTGCTGTGAGTCTAGCCTGGTCTACAAAGCAAGTCCAGGACACCCAAGGGTACACAGAAACCCTGTCTCAAAACAACAACAACTAATCTTGATTATTTCCTTTCTTGAGTTTTATTTTAATTTGCTTTGCAGATATTTTTTAAAGATTTATTTATTTATCATGTATACAGTGTTCTGTCTGCATATACACCTGCACACGGAAGAGAGAACCAGATCTCATTATAGATGGTTGTGAGCCACCATGTAGCTGCTGGGAATTAAACTCAGGACCTTTAGAAGAGCAGCTAGTGCTCTTAATATCTGAGCCATCTCTCCAGCCCCTGTTTTGCAGATCTTAATTGCTTCTTTGTTGTTGTTGTTTTGCTTCATCTTCTTAACTCTCTCTCAGTCCTTTCAACTCAGCAAGATTGTTGGACTATGTTTGGGTTTCCTTTCCCTGTACTGCAGCTGAAAATATACTTAGAGCAGTAAGCTCCAATAGTTTTCTACAATTTCCTTCCATTCTTCTTTTTAGACAATCTAATCTCTTTCAACAACAGAGGGCAGTTGTGTGCTAATTAATCTTTCATTGTCTGAAGTGCAATCCTATATCTTTTCTGTATTTGTCAGGGCATTTAGAATAATCAGAAGAAATGATTTACATGACTTTACCTTTCAACCAGTGCATGTCATTTCTCTACACTCTTCAGCATCTGTGTGTACTGTAAAGCAGTTCCACAATACAACTTCTTTCTTATGTATGTTTTCTTAATATGGTGCAAAGGGTATTTATATGCCTTTTTTGTTATTTTGTCAAAGATACATTTGTTGGTTTTAGTTTTTGCCTTTATGTTTGTACCCTGTGTGTGCAGTGTCTGTGGAGGCCAGAGGAAGGAGTTGGATCTCTTGGAATGATAATTATGGCTGGTTATGAGCTACTGTTTGGGAGCTGGAAAACTGAACCTGGGTTCTCTGCAAGAGAACCATCTCTCCTGGCCCTAATAGCTGCCCTCAAATAAAATGGCCTTCATTCTGTGTATGAGAGATGGAGTCTTCTTCATTCTCTTCCCAGATATGTACAATTAGAAAACTAAGTTAACTATTTGTTTTGATGACTAGGTCTTAACTGTGCAGGTCTGGCTAACCTGATCTGTATTGTAAGTTCCAGGACAGTCAGGGCTATACCGGGCCAAACCCTATTTTGGAAAACAAAAACAAGGAAACCAACCACCCCCTGCCCCTCAAAAAAAAAGATTGCACTATCAAGCTGAGTGCAGTGGTCCATGTCTGTAATCCCAGCACTCAGGCAGGTGGATCAAATACAAACAAACAAAAACCATATAAAAATAAAAGATGTGCCTACCTTTAAGTAGTTTCTTTTAATTAAAATTTTTTGATTATTTGTATGTGCCATGGTGGCACATGGTGCCATGGTGAGTGTGTAGAAGTCAAAGAACAGCTTTTTTCTTTCTACCATGGAATCTGGTTAGTGAATTCAAACTTATTTATGGAGTCATTTTGCCAAAAATTCTGTTTTAAAGTTGCCTTAAGTGATTCCATATTTGTTTAATTTGTAATTTTGCTGAAGTCAATGTCATCTTGTTTTCATGAACACTGTCTTGGTGTTTTTCAAGGTGGTATAGCTGCATGCTGGGAAAGAAGTGCAGCCTGGCCCCACTGAAGGAAGAGCTTAGAATCCAGGGGGTAAGGCTTATCATTGCTGTTCTCCTGTGTCCTCCTAGGATGTAGTTGAGTAGAGCAGCTTCTTTATACCCTAAAGCTAAATGTGTTAAAGTTACTTTTACATGTTTTATCTGCAGGTATGCAAACGTCAGAAGAGGCCAGATCCTCTTCAGAAGTCATGGGTAGTGGTAGTCTGCTCTGTGGGTTCTGGGAACCAAGCTGGGTTCTCTGCAAGAGCAAGAATTGCTCCAAATTGCTGAGCCATCTCTCTAGCCCAATATTTCTTGTTAAGGATATGAAAAACTACAAAGTAGATCCCTTTTCTTCTCTGAAATCTGATATATGAAAGGGACATTCCAAAGCTGCTTCTGGCCAGACTTTGGTTGGCTCTTGTCCTTCACAGAGTAAACAAAGGCCAGGCATGGTGCATGCCTTTAATCCCAGCACTCAGAAAGCAGAAGCAAAGTTTTGAGTTATGAGGCCAGTATGGTCTCCATAGCAAGTTCAAGGCAAGCGTATTTAGAGCCCTTGTCCAGAATGCTTGAAGCCCTGCAGTCAATTCCAGCACTGCAGGTGCTGTACACACCTGTATTTCCAGCACTTCGGAGGGAGAGTCCCAAGTGCTAGAATTTAATTTATGATTTAAAATCACAAGTTGGAGGCCATTTGGGGCCACTTAGCCACTCTATCAAAGAAATAAAGAAAAACTACTTAAATCATTTTACAGTGACTCTCCTGAAAACTGTTTTAGGTGTTTTGTTTGAACTCTCAGACATCTATAAATTTTCATATTTTATGAGAGATAAAAATTCTGTAGAAAGATAATTTGTTATCAGACAGCTACAAATACCTATTTTTTAAAAATAGTATTTGTTGATTAAAAAAAAAAATAACAACAGGAGTTAGCAGCCAAGAACATTAGTAGAAAGACTTTAATTTAAAAGGTGGCCATGGGGTGGCATTCACTGAGTCATGAATCAGAACTCAGGGGTTGAAGCTGGAAGATCAGGAGTTCAAGGCCACCATTAGCTACCCTAGATCTTACTTAAACAAAACTTTCATGTGAGATGCTGTGTTTGCTGGTTTCAGGTTCCTAAAGTTACCTTCACGGAGTTCTGTCAGGGTCGGACAATGAGATGGGCCTTAGCTTGGAGTTTTTACGATGATGTCACAGTACCGGTAAGTAAAGACTTAACTTTGCTCTTTCCAGTGCCTGTTATGTGATAAGCTTCAGTAGATCATGAGTGGACTAGGTCTGTGCTGTTCTACTTGCCTAAAGTTTTCTCCAGATGTTTATGGTAAATGAAAGTGTTCATGAACAGAACATGCCTAGGATCATGTAGAGGGTAGAAGTTAGGGAGCATGGCCTGTGGTGGACCTTCTTCAGTCTATTTCTCTGCCTGGCACTGTGGCTTTGCTCATCTGCTGGAGAGCTGCCACTGTGGTTGTGATCTTTCTCCTGCTCTGATTTTTAACTTCTGAGGCATTGCTACAGTGAAGAATTGTAGGCAAATGCTGTGCCCCTGAGCTTCGTGGCTGTATCCTTTCCATGTACAACACTTAGGAATTGTGTTGGTAAGAAGCTCTGGCTCATCTTTTATGATTACCACTAGAAAGTGGGTGTGGGTAGCTTGTTCCAGTCCCAGTACATGGAGAGCAGAGACTGAAGAGTTCTGAGTTTGAGGCTAGCCTGAAGGTAGTACCGAGGAAGCTGCCGCATGAAGAGAGAGCAGGAGATGTGGCTCAGAAGTGAGTGCTTTCTGCTCTGTCAGAGTGCTGGCGTTCAGACCCTAACCTGACATCTGACGGCTTGTAACACCCGTGCCAGGGGCCAGTACCTCCTCTGGCCCCCGTGGGTACCTGCTTGAGTGTGTGTGTGTGTGCATAGATGGGCACATGTGCACAGGAACACATGCAACACTTACACCACATCTTAAAAAAATATATTTCTAAAATTTTTTTCTCTTCTCTGTACTATTGTATCTACAAGGAAAAGGTTTCCAAGGCTAGAGATGGTGGCACACAGCAATAATCCCAGCAACCAGGAAGCTAAGGTAGAACCTGAGAGTTCTAGACCAGCCTGGCCTACATGCTGAAACACTGTCACACGCAGACACTAAACAAACAGATTGAGTGGTTTTACGGGTCACCCTGGGAAGTGATACTAGAATAGCATGTGTCTGTTCTGTCTCTCTCTGCAAGACTGGGCTCCTTATTATGGAGGCTAGGACTGGCTCCCATAGATCTCTGTCCCAGTCCATATAGCAGCCTTGTTTTGGGAGCACCTCTTCCAAGGACTTGACCCCTTGGTCTCCAGAGCTATCCTAGATGTTGCTATCTTTGATCTCTTCCTGTTGCTGTAGGCAGAGATAGATAGATGTGTGTGAGAACACCAAGGGACGATTTGCAAATGCTGCTGTTTCTGAAAACACGAGGTCACATTTGAAGCTGAGCCAATTCTTTATCCACTGGTAGATGTATTGTAGGGTTGATACTGCCCCTATAGGTGTCCTTTCCATAGAGGCCTAGACTTGCTTCCTTTGATCATGTCTCTGCTTTCCATAGCTCCCCCATCCTCCTCCAGATATTACCTTATTGTTTTCTAGACTCCTAGGACCTACACAGCAGATGGTTAAAATCATTAGCAGTGCCCTAACTGTCTCTGTGCAGACATAAACAGCTGTGGGAAATTGGAGCAGCACCTGCTTCCAAGACTCTCTGTTTAACCTGCTGCCCACATTTTTGACTCCGGGAAGAGCTGATAATGGCCTCTGACACTCCCCATGGCAGCTCAGAGACAGTCTCCTTTGCCCTCTTTGATGAAGGAGTCTTCACAGATACTATTATTGAACAGCAGTGTCTTTATACAAAGTTAGTTTAGTTTTGTTCTGTTTTTTAAATATGGGCCCAGGTGGTCCTACAGAGACTGATGCACCAACCAAGGACCATGCATGGAGAGGTCCTAGACCACCTGCTCAGAGGAAACCCACAGGCTGCTCAGTGTCAGAGTGGGTGCCCTAGTAAGGGGGCCAGGGACTGTCTCTGACATGAATTCAGTGGCCTGCTCTTTGATCACCTCTCTGTGTGGGATGCAGCTTTTCCAGGCCGAAGAGGAAAACGATGCAGCCATCCCTGATGAGACCTGATAGGCTAGGGTCAGAGGTTAGGGGAATAGGACCGCCCCTATCAGTGGACTAGGGGAGAAGCATGGGAGGAGATGAGGGTGGGAGGGAATGATGGAGGGGGCTTCAGCCAGGATACAAAGTGAATAAATTGTAATAAATAAAAATAAGTAAATAAATAAAATACATTCTAAAAAAAGTCAGCTTACTTAGAAAAGGAACCAAGAGCCTCCCTGCCTTTTTTGGGGGGGGGGGATCTTGTAGTCCTGCTTAGTTTCCAACTTTCAGAGTATGCATTTTGCTAAGGGCCTGAGATTCTTCCCATGCTATAAGGTATCCCCCCACACACACCCACAGTCATCCCTAAGCTTTTAATGCATTCCCCAGTGTTCAGTTAGATGCGCTTAAACTGCTGGGTGTGACCCAGCAGTTTCTGATTTGTAGTAACCCAGCAACAGTTTCTTAGGCTGGCGCCCTTGATCAACCACGGCTTTCCCTGTGGGTAGGTCAAGGTAACTTGGGAGATTTTGGTTTGACCTTCCTCTTGGTTCCCCTTCCTTCTACTTAGACTTTCCTTTAGTCACTGCTTCTGTGGAAAGCTCAGCCAACATTCCTTTTTTGCTCCTGTTGGGGATTGGGCAGGAGGAGAATGCTGCTTCAGTTGAGGAAAGGAAGACACAGAATAGACCTGGTTAAGCAGAATTACTGACCTACTTCCCTCCCTCCACCCTGCCATTTAGCTTTATGTACAAGTTCCTATGGCAACTTGTGTTTTCACTTATCTTAGGACTCCTGACTTGTTTCTGTGGGTGATGAATGCTGAAAATTCTAATTCAAGCAATTTAAGTGCCTATACTAAGCCCACTGCTGTTGTCTGGACTCCCTTCAGGAGCAGGAAGACAATCCTAATGTTGGTAGGGTTTCTTGTTTGTTTGTTTGTTTGTTTCTTTTTGTTTTGTTTTAGAGACAGAGTTTCTCTGTGTGGACTTGGCTGTCCTGAGCTTGCTTTGTAGACCAGGCTGGCCTCGAACTCACAGAGATCTGCTTGCCTCTGACTCGCTGAGTGCTGGGATTACAGGAGTTCAGCACAGTGCCCCTCTTTGGTGGAATTTTTGTACCATCATTTTTGATGATGGTGAAGCAGTGTTTTCCATAGGATGCTGTCAGGTCACTTTTAGAGCTCTTTTCTCCAGTTCTGTAATTCTGCAAGGTGGTGCTTTGGATCTATTTTGCTTTCAGGAAGTTTGACGTTAGTTGAAGGGTAAGGATAGAGGGGGACACACAGCTGTAGTAAATTGTGGACTCTTGATGTGAACATTGCCCAGAAACCCTGGTTTGTAAAGTATTCATAGGGCTGGGGAGATGTCTCTGTGGTTACAAGAGCTTACTGTTCTCTCAGAGGACCTGGGTTAGGTCTCAGCACCCATGAGACGGCTCACAAAGTGTCCCAGACCTTCTCCTAAGACAGGCTAAGTGTAGACATAAAAATAAAAATATTTAAAAGCAGTCCCCTCTGTCCAAGGCATTTCTCTTAGTCTGGGCTTCCCTGTCTAGCTTACTAACAGGAAGTTTTTTTCAGATTGGATGGGGAAGGGTCAGAATAAAAGAGTGTCATGTGTTTTCTGTTTATACTTCATGGATTCTTTTTGTTTTAAGATTTGTTTTTATTTTTAATTATGTATATTGAGGGTTATTATGTGCACATAAGGGAATGTGCCCACAAAGGCCAGAGGGTTCAGACACCCAAGAGCCGGAGTTACAGGCACTAGTGAGCCTCTTAAGATAGGGAATGAACTTTGGTCCTCAGGAAGAGCAGTACCTATTTAAAATCCTAAGCCATCTCATACATACATACATACATACATACATACATACATACATACATACACACACACACACACACACACACACATACATACACATTTTTAAAATTGAGACAGTCTCACTATGTAGCCTTGGCTGGCCTGAAGTCTGCTGTATTGGTCAGGCTGACCTTCTTCCTGAGTGCTAGGATTGAAGGCATTCACCACCGCCTTCAGTTTAGAGTTTCTTTCTTAGAAAAATATTTTTGGGGGCTGGAGAGATGGCTCAGCAGTTAAGAGCACTGACTGTTCTTCCAGAGGACCTGGGTTCAATTCCCAGCACCCAAATGGCAGCTCATAGCTGTCTGTAACTCCAAAAGCCAACACCTTCACACAAACATGCAGGCTAAACACCAGTGTACATAAAATAAAAATAAGTACATTTTAAAAAGAAAAGAAAAAATGTTTTTATTTATTGAGGTTAGAGAGATGGTTCAGCAGTTAAGACCACTACTGCTTTTTCCAAGGACATGGGTTTGGTACCTAGTACCCACAGGAGGTGGCTCACAGCTGTCTTATAACTCCGATTTCAAATTATCTGATACTCTTTGGCCTCCAGTGCACCTGCATGCAGTGATAACACAAACTCACATAAGCACACACACATAAATAAATCTTTTATATATGTATTTGTGTGTGTATGTACGCATTCATGTATATGTATATAGAACTCGGAGGAAAACTTGCTAGAGCCAGTCCCCTCCTTCCAAATTGAATCCCCTCTCCCCCCATTGAATTCGCCTTGACCCACTGAGTCCACTTGGCAGTCCCCTTCATAGATCTTTAAGAAAGATAGTTGTAGGATTCTAAGCACATGGCTCGGGGTCGACAATTGCAAGTTGGAGGCAAATATGAGTTTGATATTTTAGGCTTCATTCTTTGCTCCGTGGGTTGTGTTGTTTGTTTTTTAATCAAATTTCAGGTGTGGATTTTGTTGCTGAAATTCTGTTGCTAAGAAATAGTTTGGGAAGTGAGTGTATGGTTTAGTGCTTATATGTGAGGGTTGACTTTTCATTTGGTTGGTTGGTTTTGTCTACTTATTTAGAGGTAAGGGTCTCATTATTTTAGTTCTGACTGGCCTGGAACTTGCTATGTAGATCAGTATCGTGTTCCTCTTGTTTTCCCATTGGCTCTGAGATTACAGGTGTGTGTCTGCACAGGTACAAAACAGAAGTAGTGATTAGGGAACTGAGCTTTGAGCAGAATTAAAGTGTGATGCTTGCTCTGGTAATAACAAATAAATCAGGGCTGGAGAGATGGATGGCTCTGCTGTTAAAGTCTAGGCTCACAACCATAAATAACAAATAAATCAGAACTGTTTCAGTTCCTTACTTAATAGTTTTGTGGCAAAGGAAAACACACCTGAAATAATGTATATAAAAATTGTATATGCATAAGTGTGAGATGAATGATGGGGCAAGAACGTTTCAGAAAAAGAAACAGTCTAATCTGGTTAGAAATGACTTGAGGGGGGCTGGAGAGATGGCTCAGAGGTTAAGAGCACTGACTGCTCTTCCAAAGGTCCTGAGTTCAATTCCCAGCAATCACATGATGGCTCACAACCATCTATAATAAGATCTGGTGCTCACTTCTGGTGTGCAGGCAGAATAATATGTACATAATAAATAAATAAATCTTAAAAAAAAATAAAAATAAAAATAAAAGAAATGACTTGAGGGAAGAAGATTTGCCTCTTCGTCTCTCTGACTGTTTTTCCTAAGGAAAACTGTGTTGCGTGTGTAAAGGAATTGCTGAAGGTTTAACCTGAGGCCCTGGCCTGGGAATAGGATAGCACTAGGTTTTGAAGTGTTGAGCCTAGTCGTAAAGTCATTATTTAAATACAAATAACATCTCCTTTTCATTAAGCCAGGGGACAGTGGCACAGACAGTGGTGCCAGCATCTGGAGGCAGCAGGGTCTTGTCCCAGTCTTCATTTTCTAGCCCAAACCTTAAGCCCTTGCACATTCTGCTAACCAAGCCTTTTGTCTTTTCCTGAACTTGGCCACCAGAACCTCTGTGTGTAGTCTTTAGTCAAGAATCTTACGTAGGAATTATCCCAATAGCCTCTTTCCTGGGAGAATGGAAGTTACCCTAAGTCCACCATTCTGGTTAGAGCTCCAGAGCTGTGGTTTGGGCATGTAGCTCGGTGAAAGAATGCTTTTCTAACATGCACATAGTCCAGAGTTCCATCCTTCACATCACAAAAATAGCAATAGTAATAATTTCCTTAGATATAAAATACAGGCTATTGATACGGGTTTATAGAGTAAATATTGAACAATCTGTATTTGATGTGGTCGAGAAGATTGAGTAAAGTAGTTTCTTATGAATAAAGCAATTTGGTCCCATCTCAGCCTTTTTGTACTGTCCCACTCCCAAGATCCTTTTTTTTTAATAGAAGTTGCCTCTGTGGCCTCTTCTTCTAAGCATTTTTTTTTTAATTTTATTTTTTTCTTATCAGTTACATTTTTAAGCATTTTTTAATTAGCATATATTCCATGGCCCCTTGATTGATTGATGCTGTCTAATATGGTAGTCAGGAGGATTGAGAATTCAAGGATATTCTTGAGTGTTTTGAGACTAGCCTGGGCTATGTATGAGATCCTGCTTCAGAAACAGCAACAACAAAGTCATTTCAGTTGGGGAAAATGACTTTTCTTTATTAGTGTCTTTAATAAGGTGTAAATTGTCCTAGTGGCAGAAACCTGTGGGATTGAGTTTAACGATCAATTTTTTTTTCTGCCGAGCTAGGCTGTCCTGGACTCCCTTTGTAGACCAGGCGTGCCCCACTGAGACAAAGTGGGGTTTAGAATTATTAGTGTATGCCAGAGTTAAGTTAGGCTTTTATCATTTGAAAAACTTATTTGAAGAGTTCTAGAGTATAAGTTATATCTCTTGAGTGAGTAGGTTGTTTTTTTTTGTTTGTTTGTTTTGTTTTGTTTTGTTTTTTTAAAGACAGGGATTCTCTGTGTAGACCATGTTGACCGTTGACCTCAAACCTGAGATTTGCTTGCCTCTGCTTCCCAGTGCTGGGATTAAAGGTGTGTGACACACAACTGGCTAGTTGTCTTTTTTTATTTTTTCTTTTTTGTTTGGGGTGTGTGTGTGTGTGTGTGTGTGTGTGTGTGTGTGTGTGTGTGACCCTGGCTATCCTAGAACTTGTTCTGTTGACCAGGCTAGCCATGAATTGAACCCAAAGATCTGCCTATCTCTGCCAGGTTTTGTCTTTTCTCAACTGCCAAAAAAAGAAATTAAAAACAGGGCTGGAGAGATGGCTCACAGTTTAAGAGCACTGGCTGTTCATCCAAAGGTCCTGAGTTCCATTCCCAGCACCCACTGGTGCCTCACAACCATCTCTAAGGAGATCTGGTGCCTTTTCTGGCCTGCAGACACATGTAGGCAGAACATTGTATGCATAAGTAAATCTTTTAAAAAGCAAATTAAAAACAGATTGTTTCTTAGAAAACTGTTTCTGACACTACCTTCCATGTTTGCCAGCACAGGAGCCACTGGCTGTCTTCTCAGTGTGTTCAGGGTAAAGTCGCTGGTTAACTGTCACAAAGCGTCACCAAGTCTTGGGTGTGTGTACATGCCCTGTGGGTGTTGCTGGGCAGAACCGGAGTTAGGGGCAGCACAGTTCCCCGAGATTCCTGTTCATAGGGAAAGGCCTTCAACTTGCTTTCTCATCTTTGAACTTTCTCTTACTATCCTCTCCTGTTCACTTTGCCCCGACCTTCAGAGGTCTCTTAATTTTTTAAAAAGTTTTTACTTTTATTGACAAGTGCAAGTCTGTATGTTTTTATTTTATTTTTTTAAATTTTTAAATTTTTATTTTTTTGCAATTTATTCACTTTATATCCAGATTATAGCCCCCTCCCTCATTTCTGTCTGGGTCCACCCTCTGCTCCCTCCTCCTCCCCCCTAGCCCACTGAAAGGGGGAGTTCTCCTCCCCTGCCATCCGACCCTAGCCTATCAAGTCTTATCAGGACTGCCTAGATCCTCTTTCTCTGTGGCCTGGTAAGGCCATACCACCAGGAGGAAGTGATCAAAGAGCAAGCAACTCAGTTCGTGTCAGAGGCAGCCCCTATTCCCCTTACTTGGGAACCCACATGGAGACTGAGCTGCCTGTGAGTTACATCTGAGCAGGGGGGTCTAGGTCCTCTCCATGCACGGTCCTTGGTTGGTGCATCAGTCTCTGTAGGCCTCTCTGGGCCCAGATTTTTTGGCTTTGTTAGTCTTCTTGTGGAGCTCCTGTCCACTCCGGGTACTTCTATCCCCCACTCTTCATAAGACTCCCTGTTCTCTGCCCAAAGTTTGCCTGTGAGTCTCAGCAACTGCTTCAACCCCCTGTTGGGTGAGATTTAAGCATCCTCCCTATGGTCCTCCATGTTGTTTAGCTTCTTTAAGTCTGTGGATTTTAATATGGTTATTCTGTATTATATGGCTAATATCTGTTTATAAGTGAGTATATACCATGTGTGTCTTTCTGGTTCTGGGTTACCTCACTCAGGATGATCTTTTCTAGTTCCATATTTCATGATTTCCTTGTTTTTAATAGCTGAGTAGTATATAAATCTGTATGTTAAAAGTGTTTGTCCTTGGGCAGGAGAGATGGCTCAGAGGTTAAGAGCACTCATTGGCTGTTCTTCCAAAGGTCCTGAGTTCAATTCCCAGCAACCACATGGTGGCTCATAACTATTTATAGTGAGATCTGGTATCCTCCTCTGGCGTGCAGGCACACAAGCAGACAGAATACTGTATAAATAAATAATAATTTTTTTTTTTTAAAGAAAAATATCTGTCTGCCCTGTGCCTCCTAACCCCAGTTGTTACTCAGAAGACAGGCAGTTGGATCTCTGTGAGTTCTAGGCCAGCCTAAGCAACATAGTGACCCCCCCCCCATTCAGAAAAGTGTGTGTGTATGTTCTTAGCTAAATGTAACTTAAAAGTACCATGTAGAAAGTTTTAACTTTCAAGAAATAGCTTAATTACTCAAGTGTTACTTTTGATGTTTTAAGTGGAACTGGAGTCCCTCTAGTGGGTGGGGTATAACTGCCTAAACCCCAGGTAGAAAGTGTGAAGGTGATTTGGATTCCCGTGGCCCTGGCTTTCAAGTGTAGTGTTCTCATTGGCACTGGTATCCTTTATTCCCAACTGACAGGCGGTACATAGTCTGGGCCCAGCTTCTTCTGCTCATGTGGTTCTCAGTGGCCCTGGTCATTCCTGGCCTGTGATTGTGTAGGCTGCTATATTTCAAGCCCCAGCCGCTGGTGTGTTTGGTATTGGTCTCCCTTTGTACCGTTGCCTGACTTGAAACTTGCTCTGTCGGTTAGGCTGCCTTCAGACTCAGAGATCTGTCTGCCTTTGCCTCCCAGATGCTGGGATTAAACGCGTGCACCACAACTGCTGACTACTGAGCGTATTTAAACTCAAGTTGTCAGCTGATGGCTTTATGTCAGACACGTGCTTCACTGCTGAGCTGCATTTCTAGTCAAGATGTACTGTGCAAGGGTAGTAGTGGAGTTGGAGGCCGGAGGACTACCTGACTTATTGCTCACCACCTTGCTTTCTGAGGCAGCCATCTTCACTGGCTGGGAATCGCCAATCGGGAGCTGCCTGGCCCGGAGCCGAGGGGCCATCCCGCCTCATTAGGGTTCCAAGTGTGCCGTTGTCTTTTCTGCTGTGCATTCTTGGGGTCAGACGCACACCTAAGGCTTGCCTGGTAGACACTTTACACGCTGGGCTGCTGCCCTGCCTGTGTGCACTTCGTCGTGGGCTGCCCGGGTCAGCACAGATAGAAAGGCCAGTGTAGCTTGTGGAGAGTGACTGTACTCGTAGCTGGAGGAGAGCCAGGCGATAGATAGGGTTTAGAAGACTTTGGATTTGGAGTTCCGCGCCCCGGGTCTGCCGTTACTGATGGTGTAACTGAGCTTTAGCAACAGCCTTTGTCTTACTTTTCTTTTAACCGAAGGAAGAAGTAGAGCTTTCTGTCTCGGCTATTTGATTGAAAACCCTGGAAATGGCCCTACTTGTGTCATTTTGCTGTGGTGGATTTAATGGTTGGGATAACTTTCTTCTTCTTTTTTTTTTTAGTCACCTCCAAGTAAACGAAGAAAATTAGAAAAGCCAAGGAAACCCATTACATTTGTAGTGCTGGAGCCTGTGATGAAAGAATTGTCTCTGAAAGCCTCATCTTTGGGCTCCGAGGCAGTGGAGGGCATAGTAGTTGTGACAACATGGATAGAAAAAATTCTCACTGATCTGAAGGTGTGTAGTCAGGCACACTGACGGTGTGCTTAGCCATGGCCTTTATGGGTTTGTTTGTTTGTTTGTTTGTTTTTATTAAAGGAATTTGGTAAATAGTGACAGGTGATTTTCCATAAAATTCTGTTTTTTCTTCCATATAGGTCCAACATAAACGAATTCCCTGTGGAAAAGAAGAAATTAGCCTATTCCTGACAGCCATAGAAAACTCTTGGATTCATTTAAGAAGGAAGAAAAGAGAGCGAGTGCGCCAACTGAGGGAGGTGCCTCGAGCTCCTGAGGATGTTATCTTAGCCTTGGAGGAGAGAAAGCCCACTCCCAAAGAGCTGAGTGGCAGCCAGGATGCGGCCGCATGCCCCCAAGACAGTGCCTTGTGTGGGCTTGCTGTGCTGGAAGGCGAGTCTGCCACTGTGGGTGGCCATTGCTTCAGCCAGGAGTCACTGTCCCAGGAGGAAACTCCAGAAGCCATGGAGGATGAAGGGAGTGAGGAAAGGGGAGGGGTAGAGGTCATGGAAAGTTGTAAATTTTCCAACAATGGAGCCCAGGACGGAGAGGCTGCTGAGAAGGGGGATCACCTGGACGGAGTGGCCGGACATTACTTGTTTAAGTGTTTAGTCAACATTAAGAAGGAAGTAGACGACGCCTTAGTTGAAATGCATTGGGTTGAGGGCCAGAACAGGGATTTGATGAACCAGCTTTGCACCTACATACGGAACCAAATTTTGAGGCTTGTTGCTAGTTAATTCTCAATTTCTTCTGCAGTTAGAAAAGTGTCTGTGTGGGGCTAGAGAGTTGGTGCAATGGCCGCATTTGCTTAGTATGCAGAAGGCATCCTGGGTTGAGCCCTTTACCTCCAACATCAATACAAAAAATGTATAAAAAGCTTGCCTTGGAGGCGGAGCCTGTTGGAAGGCCAGAGGAACTTCACCACTGGTCCTTTAGAGACCACGTGGAATCAACTGACCAAGCAGACATTTAGTGGGTGTGGTCTCTGATACTTGTAATCCCAGTACTTGGAGGCTGAGGCAGGATTGCTATGGGTTTAAGGTCACCCTATACTACAGAGAAAGACACTTGTCTAAATAAAAAGAAGAAAAAAAGGAAAGCAGAAACGAATCCATTTTTAACCCTTCCCCCCTTAAAGTTACCTGGAGATGTGTGTAAAGAACAGGGGTTCAGGAGGAATGACTATTGCAACAGCAGATAAACTTAGGATGAACTTTGATCCTACTCCAGCCTGAGGCCAGGGGGGCCGTTTGTGGCACGTGGTGTGGGTCAGCACTGCCTGAACATGTCTGCCACTAAGGGTCTTTTGGTAAAGAGGACAGCAGTGCTCCCCAGTAGAGGCAGTACAGCAGGTCAGCGCCCTGGCACTGCTCAGTTGCCCTCAAGACACCTGCTTTCTCAGGTATCTACAGTTGATGGAGCCAGTCCCCAGAAAGGGGCTAGCCCGGTCATAGGTGGCCAGTGTCAGGGTGAGGGGTGAGACATCTTAGGCCAAGGAGAGGACCTGTCTGGGGCCCGCACAGGAAGCCACACATTCGTCGCTCACTGCTGCCCTGACAGAGCCTGAATAAGCTCAGAATTGAATAAGCAGAACTCTGAGATGTAGCTGAGGCACAACAAAATGTGCCCATCGCCCCATCCCCGCGGACAGTTGCTCTGTAGCAGTTGCACTGCTCTTTTTAAACAGTGAAATGGATTATGTTTCTTTTTTCTAATATAAAACTTCAGAATTGAAAACTCTCGATCTTGTTTGAATCCTGGAATCGGAGATACTTCCTTGTATTTGAGTTGGGTAAATAGTTGATGTGAAAAATGGGACACTAAGAAAGGTCCTGTGTTACCAAGTAGGGTCTGGAGGTATGTCAGTGGGAGAGTATTCACCTAGATGTGTGAAGGCCCTGGTCTCTATCCTCAACACAAGAGAAAACAGGTTTTGGTGTGGTTTAGAGGGTTGTCAACTGATTTTGACAACTGATTTTATTGACCAAATGCTGCTTCATTTGGTGCCTTTCCTTCATTCTCTGCTTATCTGCTAACATTGAACAATGCTGAGACTAGGATAACCGTGTCTGAAACACATTTTTAATGGTAATGCCAAGGTTCTGCAGAAACTTATGGGGGAGAGCTCATTTTTGTTCTTTTTGTGTCTTGGAAATGGTCTCTTGTGCCGGATTCCTGACTAGCAAGTCTGGGGTTCTATATGGACAAACTCTTGTTTAGTGCCTGAGCTCTTTGGCACCCATGAAGACTGGTGCTGAGTGGTTAAGCTCCATTTTTGAGAGGTGGCTCGGATTAGATCTGGCCCTTGGCAAAAGTATAAGGAAATGCAAACGGTACAGTGCATTGAAAGCTAGGAAAGAACATTTTAGCCAGGGTTTTTCTTCCTCCCACCCCTTCCCTCTCGGGATCTGATTCACTCACAGTGATTAGAAACCAGCTAAGGAAAAGTTCTAGTCCATTTATCCATTTGGTTGACAAGAAGAAGAAACCGACATCCACGGTCACAGAACAGGCCCAGACTGAATCCAGGGCTTAGGTTGCGTACATACAGTAGTTATGGCTGTGTGTCTGGGGTGGGGTGGGTGGGGTATATGAATGCAGGTGCCTGTAGATGCAGCAGATCCCTGGAGCTGAAGTTACAGGCTGTGGTGAGCTGCCTCATGTGGGTGCTGGGAGCCAGACTTGGGTTCTCTGCAAGAAGAGTACATATTCTTAGCCATTGAGCCATCTTCCCAGCTCCTGTTGTTGTTCGTGTACCCTCAGACTTGATGTGTAGCTGAGGATGAATTTTCCCCCAGTATCTATATCTGGGATTGCCAGTCTCATCTATGTGGTGCTAATGATCTACTGAGCCCACAACTTCCTGTGTGTTAGGCAAATGCTCTGTCAACCAAGCTCTACATCCTCAGTTCCCCAAATCTAGCTCCTTGATGGCTCTTAGGATGTTTGAGTTCAGTGGCAGTTAAATATCTGCCAGAGCAGCTGGCAGATAATCAATAATTAATAATCAATGCTTTTAAAACAGGTGCCTAGAGATAGGGTTCTGTGGTAGCATGCACAAGGCTCTGAGTTCAGTTTTTAGTATCGAAAAACATACACACTAGTTACCCAGGGTGCTGGCCTGGTGACAGCTCTTACCAGTATTTTTGTGTTTTCTCCCAGTCTTTCTGTAGGTGAGACCAGTGTGTATGTGGCTAATTTGGATTGTATTTATGTTTGAAATTTGACTTTTCTGTTGTGCTTTTTTTTTTTCACACTTTGTCCATTCAAAATGCCCTTCTGGCAGTGTTGACTTTGCTTATGTCTAGTCCCTAGACATTTTTAGAGCTTGTCTATGTTACTGGAGGAGATACAAAAATTGGATCTGTGTCCACATGTGTCTCAGTCCTAAGACTGAGAAGGTTGTATAGATGTTAAAAATGCTGCTGGAATGGGAGAAAAATGTTTGACAAGAGTGGTGTTTACAGTCTTTGGGAAAACGAGCTGTGACTATCTTTTGCAATTGAACACCATTTTTTCTTACTTTGTGTAGTGAGATGGCATTAAAAACGGTTTTGTTTGTTTGTTTGTTTTGTTTTTTTAGACAGGGTTTCTCTGTGTAACAGAACTTTGTAGATCAGGCTGACTTCAAACTAATAGAGATCCCTCTGTCTCTGCCTCCTGTGTCCTGGGATTAAAGGCATGAGCCACCACACCTGGCTTGAGACAGGGTTTCTCTGTGTAGCTCTGGCTGTCCGGAACTCACTCTGTATACTGGGCTGCTCTCCAACTCACAGAGATCCAAGTGCTGGAATTAAAAGGTGTGTACCACCACCACCTGGTGACATTGAGAACATTAGAAACCTCTGATGTTCTGGTTATATGTGTTCTATAATTGAAGAGGAACTATTTAAAGAAATTGGTTGCTGGTGTATTAGTATAGAGTGACAATCTACTTAAGTCTGGAGGTCAAGTTTGTGTTGGTGGTGAATTGACACGAAATTAAATCTTTGTTGTTATCTTAAGTTCTATTCTGGTCCCTGGAATTGGCTTCTGATCTCCTGATAGCTAACGTGGGCACTGAAGCTGAGCTTGTTTTTCATCGTGAACTGAGGTGCTTTTGTTTAGAATCTGCTTTGGTATTGTCTGTTTGGTCCCTTCATCTGTGCTTAGCTGTTCCCACACTAGAGCTGGATCAGAGTTGGCAACTCTGAGAAGTTTCAGCTAACCTTAAGGGTTCAGGTCCATTAGATTATTTTTTACAAAACAAAACCTTTCTTTTCCTAATGGAAATCAAAGCTTCTGTTGTCTGACAGGAATAATTAAATGCCCAAGTGTGGAAAGATGTAAAAATCCTAATCAAAACCAATGCAAAGCCATTTTGTTTTATTTTATTATTATTATTATTATTATTGGTGTTTGAAATAGGGTGTCATCCCTGAAGCTCAGGCTGGCCTGGAATATTCAAGGTAGCCAAGCGGTGGCATTTAACTCCTGTTCTTCTGCCTCCACCTCCCCAGTTTCTGGGCTTTCAGATATTGCCACCATACCGGTTTATGTGGTGCTGGGGATTGAACCCAGGACGCTGTTAGTGCAAAGCAAGCCTTATGCCATTTGGGCCTCATCCTTGGATTCCTTCCTCCTCTCCCTCTAGTCCCCTTCAAGAGAAGGGAGTAAGTGCTGGGTGTGGTGACTTCACCTGTAATCTCAGCACTTGGGTAGAAGGAGGAAGAACAGGAGTTCAAGGCTGAGTTCAGAGTTGCTCTTGCCTACATTGTAGGTTCAGGGACAGGGATGAGACCCTGTGTCGGGGAGAGGTGGGAAGAGAGACCGGGTGTGGGAGCCCCTTGGTCTTTCTTAACTGGCAGCACTTTCTTCTGGAGCCACACGGGGGCACCTTGAGACTCTTTAATCGTGCTCCTGAACTTCATTTAGGGATGTATAAAATGTATCTATAGAATTTTCCTAAAGTATCCAGTTGTATCCAGAGAAATATTTGTGTAAAAGGGTACATTTTCAAAGAGAAAGTTTAAAATGAAAGTATCAGGAAGAAAAAAAGGTCACAACCTGTAGCTTTTATTGGTGTGGAGTTAATGAGGACCCAGAGGAGGGAGTGTTAGTAAACTGTTAAAGGGTTATGTTCCAGGACTGGTAAGATAGAGATCTAGAGAAATGGGTTTTCATCTTGCTTTGAATTTGATCTTGTTGGCAGACTATGCATATGACAAGTTAGTCATATGAGACGATTTGAGGGTTCTCCATTGTATGTTTATGTAAACTAGTTTAAGAATGATGTTTCTGTGTAGAGTAGAACATGCGTATGACTGCCCTGTTTGGCTGTAGACTCAAGGAGAAATTCCCTGTCTACTTTATGATACAAGGTCAGGGTCAGCAGTGCCCCTTCCACCCAGTTTGCAAAATTTCAGTTACTGCTCTTTGAGTGTATGGAGTCTTGGGGGGTGCTATCCAGGGGTGTCCTGAAGAAGAGGAGAAGGGAACATGGCTTCATTGTTTTTAGAGAACTTGTTCCTCGGAAGAGTTTATTTGCTGAATGGCCATTACCTCAGTAAAGTCCTCCCATGTTCATTAATCGAACAGTTGGGTTCTTGAAGAGGGGCATTAATGGTCTGAGAGGTGCTAGTCACCTCATGTGCGTTGTGTGGGTACCACTGCATTGTTAAAATGCCTGGCTCAGGACACCCATAGCAGTAGAGCTTATACGTGCCTGAGATCGTATTCTGTTCTGGAAAGATCTGCTGTGACTCATTCAAATGACTAAAACAGCGGTTCATTTCTTTAATTGCTGGTTGGAACAGCTAATGCTGCCTTTGTGAGTCTGTGCTTTTACTCTGGGAAACTATGTTGTGACTGAGTGAAGACCTCGTACTTTTTTGAGCTGTACCCTGTCTGCACGTCCTAGTGCCAGCAGAAGCCTCAGAGCCTCTAGGCTCTCCCTAGGAGGTGGAGGATCATGGGTGCTCCTTAGCAGCAGGGAAAGTGAGCAAGAAAGGAAGGTAGTAAGTACAGCTACACTTGGCAGAAGTGGCCTGGAAGCAATGATCAAAAGAGTGCAAGCATGCACTCCAGGTACCATTCATCCCAGGGCTGTGAACAGTGAGAGAGAGCAGAGCTTGGCAGCTTATCAGGCCTGGGTTTGCACCGCTATTCCACTCCTTATATAGGGCACCAGGCTGACTGAGCTTTGGCCTCCTCGGGAGAGCTGAGGGCTGTCTGCTCTACAGGGAAGTAGGAGCACTGTGCCTGTCAGAGAAGGACTCTGCTGTCATTGGACTTGACTTGAGAAGGTTAAGATCCTGATTAAATCAGTAAGGGCGGGCAAGCAGGTGGAGTGCTGTCTGTGGACCAAAGCCAAGCCATCTTCTATACTATGGAATGATTAGGAAGTGGTCATCGGTAGCCCATCGTTTACAGAGATTCTCTCTTGTAGTAAGCCTGTTAGGTGATGTGTATCTCTGTGTGGCAGCTGAAGACAGTGAAAGCCGTAAGAGCTTAGGTGATTTGCCCTAATGTCATTCACTGAGCAAACGCACAGAAGCAGGGTTTGAACTCAGGTCCAAGAAGCTAAGGCTGGGCTCTAGTACCAAATCTAGAAATGTTATGGCAAATGATTCATTTAAGGTAAAAATATACTTTCAGGCTCATTTGCTCCACCTCTGCTGGAATTTCAGTTACATGGCACTGGGAAGCCAGAGGAAACATGTTTTACCCCTCATAGTTCAGCACTTAAGGTAGAATCCTCTTCTTCCCTGGGATCAATGACTGAGAAGTGGTAAATGAAATTACTTACAGTTACTTTGTAATTTATGCAACAAAATCTTCACTGAATCTTGTATTTGGCAGTAATGTAGATAATTAAGTAGTTAATAAAACCACAAAATAAGTGCCTGGTGAAAGCACATTGGACCAGAATCAATGTGAAATAACTGATAATTAGGTAATGACTCTTTGACAATACATAATTGTATAATAATAGAAGGAAGGTTTTGTTCTGTTTTAAACACTACATTTCCAAATATTTCACTTATGGAACTACACAAACCCATATGCTTTGTAAGCTTCCCAGAGAAGGTAGGGTTGTCAGGATCATTGAGTTCTCTTCCCAGGTAGGTTTGGGAACCACAGAGGCTGCCTGCCATCTGTGGGCCCTCAAGAGAGTCTTTGGAGCCTAGAAGGAAAGCCAGGGATTCCCAGTGGGGGATCCCGAGAGGAGATGGCAGCTTGTTCTTGGAAAAGCATCCTGCCCTGGAGAGGGCAGCCCTCCAGGGGCTGAACTGGCGTCTCCTACCAGCAGCAGCTGGGCAGTATGGTCTGGTTTAGGCCGCCACCCTGTCACACACAGGTACTGGTATTCCTGCCTTCCAGGCTGAGTGTGGCTGTGCTGCTGGGCTCTAGGCTCACTTCCGGGGTGGACTTAGTGAGATTGGATCTTCACTTACAAGAAAACTGTTCTTCATCTGAGACACTGGAGTCAAGCAAGAAAGGGCTTCACTACAGCCCTCAGCAAGGACTGGC